GCACAGGACGCCAGAGAAATGCAGAAGTTGTTTGAAATGCAAAATCGATTATATAAAAAGTGCAATGAGAAATTGTTTTATATATTTAAAAGCATTTAGCAACCCCCTTCTGTTAAATGGACCATTTTAAGCAATACAGATAAACATGAAATAAACATAAAACTAATTGAGATTTCTGAGCCTTAAAATATCCCTTAAACATTTATTTCTATCAGCTATTATTAGCTTAGTTTCATTGAAAATTCTACTGATATGTAAACACTTATGATGTAGAGTGGGTTGAAAGTAGTTATCTTTCTTCCCACCGAAGGCACATTTCTAAGTGTGAAGTATCTTCAGGCCATTAAGGTCTCCTCTTCCGTAATGGGCTGGCAGATCCATTGGGTGAATCAATGTAATGGTCTGAAGCATGGGATAAAGAGGATGGCCCCCAGTGTGACGAGGCCTAATTGCCCGTCATCCCGTGGTGGAAAAAAGACATCATCATGTTCCATATGTACCCTCTGCAACAGACTGCCCTGAAACTAACACCTTTACAACATCTGGTTAGGGCCTTTCTGGGCCAAGAGAACACGTAATATCTGCTGGGATGTGTCCCTGCTTGTTCAACGCAGAGCCTGTCATATGCTCTAGGTAAATTAATGTAAATTATAACAGAAATCTGCTACTAAATAAGTATTTAAGTACCATGCAGAAGTATTTATACTGTTACCCCCATTAAGTTACAACAAAATCATATATTTTTGTGTACTTTATTTTAGATTTAGAGTTTTTTTTTTAATTATTATTAATAAAAAAAAGTGAAATGAACATTTATGTTTAAGCTATTTTAAGCTATCACCTAATTTAATCAATGGCAACCAGCTGACTTTATATGAAAAAAGTCATAAATGTCCGGTTTTTATTTTGATATACGCCATATAAAGGAAGAAGAAGATTTTCTGGTGAGATGAAACCAAAAATGTACCTTTTAGCCTTTCTTCAAAACACCGACCCAAACACAAAGCATGGTAATAGCTGCATCATGCTGTGGGGATGATCCTTGTCAATGTGGACAGGAAGATTCTGCACAATTTTGCATTTGTTTTTCTATCATCAGGCAGTCCTGGTCTAACACATATTACTCCAATAGAACACACTGACATTTGTCGTACCAAGATGAAAATAGGGAAAGGCCATTTTTATTTACATACATCTACAGATACATCGTGTAACTTTTCTCTTTTTTCAGGAAATCTGCTAAGACTCTAGTTAGTTTATTCCAATGGCCAAACTCAGTGCAAGCCTTTAGTTGATCTAAGTCTCAAAATCTGAGTGAGATTTATGACATAGAGGTATTTAAAACTCCAGCCCATCTCCCACAAAAAAGGAATAACACAAAAGTTCTGTTCTTTTATTGAAAATACACTCACAGGTTTTGAATGAAAACCTCTTCTACATATATTTGAAAGCTTCCCACGATCTCTTGCTTGTTTCAGTGAGCATGTTCCACTATGACACACAGGTCAACTAACAGTGCTAGAGAATCAGTATCTACAGGTCAGAGTGCTACAAAATAAGAGAAGAGGTCGGGGACCTGACTGGTGCAGCGCTTCCTTTAATCGCTGTTTTAAGGACGTTCTGACTGCTTAGCAGGTTCTGGTCAAGGTTGGGGCTAGGGTAAGAAGTGCTGATCGGGGATCTGTTTACAAAGCAGCATGTAACCACACAACAGTCAGTGACCCTGAATGTAGAGGAGCTGCATGTAGAAAATACTTAGTTTTTTTTGCACTAGAAATAGCAATGGACGTATGGCTTCACTGTAAAACCAGGGAAAAGTCTGTATGTTGAACCTATCAGTTGAATCAAGGCCAATTATGATAAAAAGCCTTGACTTAAGTTTTTGATTTATTTTATTTCTTTTAAGTTTTATCTCTATTTCTTTCTCCACTTTTTCTCCCTCTGCCAGAGAGTGGGCTACGTAGAGATTCCTTTGACATTACCCTCAACCCAGACTGCTGCAAGACTGAAACAAACCGGATACTGACCCCTGCTCATTTCTGCACAATGCTTTAATTTAGTGTGTTGTTAAAGGTAATTAGGAAGAAATTTCTCCTGTTTTTCTTTCTGTTCATTTTGGTTCTTTGCCAGTAGCAGGAGGAAAACAGTGAGTCTACCATGACTTTAGCTTTATAGCGACTCGGAAGAGGAAAAACAGTTAAAGGAAAAAACAAACAGCCAAATATTTCATGCTTATTGTGGGATCAATCGTCCACTGCATGTCCTGCACTAGAAAGATTGGTAGAGTCAAAGTAAACAGGGACAGAAATCAGAGGGTACTTAGAGTCTATTAAAAAGGTCAGCTCAAGTCAAAATAAGCTTTATTTTTACTGTACATGTATGTCTTAGAGGACAAAGGAAAATGAGAAAAGAAAAAAAATCCTTTATGTATTTGATTTGTGTGTGTGGGTGTATGTCTGTACTTTTGTGGATCTGGTTGACCTGTAGTATCTGGATACATTTACTATATAAAAAAAACATAAAAAGGAGATATAAAAATGCAATTTATAGAATTATAGGTTTAAATGACCAATTAAAATGAACAAGCAATAACAGTTTCAAGGAGGCAAAGATGGCAGATGGAGTCAGGAAAACAGCAACAACAATAGCAAAGCAAGAATAACCAAAAAGTAAAGGTACAGTACACTGCAAAAAAAACAGAAATCTAAATAAATCTAATATTGCATTGTCTTGTTTCAAGTGCAAGTTATCTAATTGTCTTATTTTAAGAGTATAAATGCTCATTCCATTGGCAAAACATATTATTTACCTACTCAAATGAAGGGTAAATACACTTAATAAAATAAATTTTTACTTATTCCTAAATCATCTTTGCAGTGTATCAGATGAAGGTATGTGAACTTTTCCTGAGCTCCTCCAATCTGTTTCGCCCTGTCTTTGGGCCAAGTGGCCCAGAAAAGAGACACAAGAAGGTCCATTGGGACAGGCTAAACCCAATCTTTATGCATTTAAATAATAGGGAATTAAATAAAAATGTGCTTAGGTATTAACTAGGATAGATAACAGCTTGTCTTTGGTTTAGAAACATTTGAAACACGTGTTTTTGTGCTTGAATCTTTGTTTTTTGAAGCGAGGAAGTGGAATAAATGAGCCAACTTTAATCAGCAAAACTTAAAAGAGTATTAACCTAGACTGTCACTGAGAGTACAAACAGCATCATACAATGGTTGGGTATTTTCTAAGATATTGTAGTCTCACCTTTTCATCTCATAACAGAAAAAGCATCTTAACCCTCCATATGATAAACAGAATTTATTATGATACTCAAATACTTACACATCTGTACGGTTTAACTGCCACAACAACACTAAAGCTCTTTGCAGATTATCTAACCATACAGAAAGAGATTACATTTATTTTATGATCAGCTATGAACCTTTTGTAGCAGAGTAAGTAAGTACAACCTTGACGGCTTGTGTCAAAGGCTTGTAAAGAAAGTCCTCTGAAGGTCCAACGATCTGAATATGTTGAAAAATAAAGTCCAGAGGTAAAAGATAACCATATAACTAACAGAAGAAGTAGAATATGGGGAGAAAAACTAAACATAGGGAGAAAAAGTTTCTAGCTAAAATCTGGGGGGAAATATTTCCATATTTTAAGTACAATAATGGTTTAAGGTATTGATTAAATGTTGAGATATTGTTTCTACACTCAAATCATATATAAATGTTTTGCCTTATTTTAGTTAAGTTGTGTAAAGTAAAGTAAAGCACATCATTGTCAAATCCATAAAGCTTCATTTCGCTCCATTAAGGTGGGCTTTACTTTTTATTTTTTTTACACTTTATATACATTTATTTTGTCAAGCAATGTCGCCATCTACAGGTAAGAAAAAGGACCTGCTTATATTTAGGTCTCTTCCTCATAGTCTGTGCAAATATACTTTTTTTAATGAAAAAAATCATAATTATGTTTATAATCTGTTATCAAATTATAGAAGAACTGTATCTGTCTCATACTCCTCACTCTATTGTCAAAATCTAAATGGACAAATACAGAGTCAAAGGCTTAGGAACAGAGATTAGCTCTGAAGACTTATAGATCTGTGGTGTATGTCATGTTCAGTTCAAATCTAATTCCACTCTTATGTATAGCATTACAATGACCGACAGCTATTAGATTTGGTTTAATATAATGACAGAGTTTAATACAGGCTTCCACATTCAATCCAATCTAATCCAAAGATTCCTTAGGAAGAGATAAATATACATACAGAAGGCAAGGCTGTAAAAAAATCTGAAGTCTGTTAACGGGTTATTTCCGACTGAGTCTTGGAAGAAGGCACTTATTAAAATTAATCACTTCATTGTTCACGCTCACTCCATAGTCCGGCTCTCTCCCTCGTTTTCACTCTCTGCTCTCCAAATGTGCCTGGCCATGATTAAAACATGTCTGTTTCTCCATGACATTGCTTTGACATCATTTAATTGGTATAAGAGATAAAAAAATAGAATGAATTAAATAAATATACTACCAGGTAAGTGGCGTAACATAGCTCAAGGTGACAGCCTATTATTTCTGCCTTCTCTTTGCCTCAAAGAAGGCAAAGTGAGAAATGTGGGATGCAGAGGAGAAGTGCAGGCTTCTTGTTGGCAAAATTGGGTTTTTCATTAACAAAAACTAGCAGACATTACTTAGAAAAAAACAAAAAACTAAAAGCAAATTCTTGATTCTCAGTTTCATTTAAAAGGTGAGCTCTAAAAGCTGCTTTCATCTGTACATCTACAATTCACCGATAGTTAGAATTCTAATCATATAACAGTTTTCACACATTAAAATCATGTGATTTGTGTAATTACCAAAAATGTATGTATTTACAACAAGGACAAAGTAGGAAAAATTGTATTGAATATATTTGAAAAACAAATGATTTTGTTGCTCTTACGATGAGGGATGAAAGAAAGGCGGAAGAGTACTAAACAGAGCGGCGGTTTACTCACAACATCTTGTCTTGTATCCTTCCCCGACGCAATGAGAATGTAGTTCCAGGCCAAAGGTAGAAGCAAAGCCAGGGGAATCATATAAAGCTCAAAGTTCCACACGACAATGATGAAAATCTGTTGGTAGAGAAAAGGAAATAGAAGGGAATCATTTAGGATAGAAGTGAAAACCCTTAACAGCTGATATTTTTGGCTGCTTTGAGGCTGAATGTGCGTTTCGCGATAATACACAGTCATATCTCGCAAACGAGGAGGATAGAAAAAAAAAGCCAAAGAAGCTCAGGCTGTAACATCGTTCCATTTTAAGTTTTGTTGGCCTCCGGCTTCAGATGCAGGAAAACCTCGAGCTGTCATCGGTTTTTCCTTTGTGTCACTCATCCCAGAGTCCAAGGTCGTGTACCATTTCAGATGCAGCTCATCAAAGCTGACCCTTTTGAGCTGAGCCCCAAACTCCAAATTATGACCCCACACACCCCGAGTCCCTAACCCTGTCACTCCAAGTCCCAATACCCTCTTCTTCTGCTCCAAAAGACTCATATGCCCTGTCTCTAACCTCCTCTGCACCCATCTGCCACAACCATAACCTCTATACCTCCCCTCTCATCACCAAACAACAAGAGCACATCTGAAAATTAACCTTCCCCTAAACCTCGTATGCTGGTTTTGTAAGGCTTCTGCTTTTCCAACAACAGATTTCTGCGGCCGTTGGAGGAGATATCTGTGGGAAAGCCGAATTGTCAATGCTCATGGCTTGATATTTCCAAGCAGCAGTATTGTGCGAATAGAGGGGCAGCTTTGTTTCAATTGTTGCTAAAAATGAGATGGGTTATTGTGTGGGAACAGCATCCGTCAGAGACAAACACACACAAAAGCATATTTATCTTTTCAAATGGTATCATGTTTAAAGCGCAGAGAGATTTCTCACGACTGATAAAATCTTGGCGGCAATTATAAACGAACGCTGAAAATGCAAACCGTGCCTAATGCTTAATGTCCTCTAGCCAAACATATTTATCAAATTTAAGTACAACAAATCCATTATTTCAAAATAAGGAGCAAAGGAAGATTTGAAATTAATTACTCTGCATGGAAATGCTTCCCCGTTTAGCAATCAGCTCTGACGGGAAACTTTCAAGACTGGTAAAACTAAGACTATTACTGTATAAAGCAGATTTATTGGTCTGTGCAACAATTAATCTATCCTGTTAGTAGAACAACACTGTTCACAAGTGCTATGAGGAAGCTATATGAAATCAATCAGGCTCTTTTCTGAGCAGCATACCGTGGTTTGGGAAGTCTTCTTTACTACTGCAGCTGAAGGTTATTCTAAATATTTCTTGGCTGAGTTGGACGGCAGCTTATAAGCAAAAAAAAGGCTTGCTTTGTTTTTATTTTTTGCTCAGAAAAGTTTGAATGGCTCCCATCGAAACTTTGCAAGAAATATTTCATGCAAAATTAACAAAAATATTAAAATAAACATTACAAATATCCAGCGCATCATAAAATCTCCTCTATGTTTCAATTCTTTCTTTAAATAAACCTGAGCAGTCTGGTTGCTGTAACTTAAATATCTCCCAAAAGGCTTGAAATCACACGCAGTCTCTGGCTAAATCCCCACACACACTCAGAGATTTATTCTTAAACAGTTGTGAAGTGGAAACAAACAGTTTAATAATTTATTATTTGTATACCAAAAAGCAAAGCAACTTTTCTCTATGCGCCTCAAGAACCACTTATAACTGTGCATAAAAAAATATCCAACAGAAAAACTCAACAAACTTCCATATTTCTTGTAAATGTACTAGACTCTATCTACAGTTAGATATTTATTATCTGTAATAGTAACACACTCTGAAATAATCTGTCAAGACAAAGTGCAGTAGAGGTGCTAAAACTTGACTTCAGATGAACAAAGAAGCTCAGTGTTTTTAAACCTATTCTTGTCGATTCTATAAATAACAGCTTTATGCAGATCCACAGACGCTCCTTTTAAGTTCTCGGTTATAAATATACCTTACACATCCTGCTGTGTAAATATATTTGCTTGTTATCTAATCACTACTTAGGTAAAATTAATTCTGCATTCTGGAGATCTTTGTGAAATCTAAAAAATGTTTCTTTTATGCTTTCCTTTGTTTATACCCTCCAATTTCTTTTCTATCTGCCTGGTCTTGTTTAACTTGTCATCTTCTTTTTCGTTCAAGCGAAGTAGCTGAAGGTGAAGTTTTGACTGGCAGCTAAAGAAACTGGACACTCTGGCCCCACGGTTGTCGGCCCCTGCTTTGTGCCCACCGGCTGGACACCGGGGGCCCTGCGGTGCCTGGACCTTTCTACCAGGAATAGGCAATCGCAGCAAGCACCGTCAATGCCCCCCCCACTCCCAGCTGCAGCTCGCTACACCAGATAGGAAGCTTTGCGCCTGGAGAGATGGGAGTGGGAAGGAGCGCCTGCTGTGGATGTCAGTGACCAGAAAGACTACAAAAACACACCGGATCAAATGGAAAAAGAGGAGGAAGATTCTGAGTAAAGTTCCAGATGTAGACTATGGGAATCAATGGTAGATTACTCTGTGTGGTCCAAACCCATACGATGAAGGCTCGTACTGGATATCTGGACACACGTTCACACGGACACACACACCCCCAGACAGTCGGGCAGAAGATGTTTGGTTCGTGCTGCTCTTGTTCAGATTTATTCCTCTGATTTTTTTTATGGTGGTTAACTTGGTATTGTTAACTTTCACATTTTATTTCTTACTTCATTTTCTATTTTTATAAAAAAAAATAATATATATATATATATTCATGGATTTTCATTTTTTTTCTTAAATCATCAAGAACCAAAATGTAAAATATATATACATTTTTTATTTATTTATTTTTTCTTATACATTTTTTTAAATTGATGACATTTGTCATCATGGCTGATAAGGACAGAAGAGGGAAAGCAAGTCAAAAAAGCATAATTTTGACTTTAAAGTACAAAGCTAATCCATCCTGAAACTGAGCATATTTTAGGCAGTGCTGTGTAAAAGCTCAGTACATCATTTCATCTCTTAAAAACAGTTTAACAGCAGTTTAACAGTAGCTAAAGCTCAAATTTGAACTGGGAAAATTGATTATGTGAGAACAAGCTGAAAATCAAATGGTTCAAAAAATTGAAACAGACATATTAACATTAAACTTTATTTTAGTAGATTTTATCTTATCTAATCTTGTTATATTTTAGCAACATTTTCATATTAATTTAAGTGTTCATGTCTTTGGTGTTGTGATTTTATTCTTTATTTTTGTGTTTATTACTATTAGAAAAACAACAACAAAGGAGGCATTATTGAAAACATTAAGAAAACAAAAAGTCAAACTAATGTATTCAAGTGCTTAGTGTGGGGAATCTAAAAGTTTTATTTCTGGTTAGAAAACAGAGTCCTGACGGCTTTCTGCAGCAGCACTGTGGGAGGGTAATATTCAGTGCTTTGGCTTACATTAACCACACACCAGGCTAACTTTCCCCCTGCTCAGTCTCAGTGGACTGAAACTGAAGTTTGGATTTCAGAGTTCCCCCTTTATCTCTCTTACATCAATATCCATGCTGGCACTAAGTGTTGCCAGACACCAACTCAAAGTCCTGTTAAGTTTGCCTGAACATAGAAAGGGGTGGGATGGGGGGGTGTCCTGCTTGTGACCAGACTTACTCATTATTCAGTGGTGCTAGACTGCCCCCTGCTGCTCAGATACAGAAAAAGGGACAATATCTGTTGATCTAATGAAAAATCTGTCCAGTCTTGTTAGGGCATGGTGGAAATAAAGCAAAGCATATGTCCTCAGAAAGAAACTACATATTAGACGTAGTCGTCCTCTGACTTCTTAACAAAAGGGTCTCATCTTCTGCTGAGTCTCTGCCTCCGGTGATTAAACCCTGACTTGGTATTCTCCATCAGCCCCGCCACAATATTTCAACTATCATTCATTTTATTTCCAAATCAAGCAAGCTGCAAAATGTGAAAGTATATCTTTCAAAGCTGTCCCTTGCTGTGGGCAAAGACGAACTCCCAACTTTAGAACTTTTAAAAGTTAGAGAGGTTCTTTGAAGAGAAGTCAAAGGAGCAATTTAAAGAGACCTGGTGGTTGGTGTGTACCGCTCACTGCTACGGCGTCAAAGCCAGACATGTGCAAACACACATACACACTCCAATGGTTGCTTCTGTACCTGTCTTTGCTTTTTTTTTCTCTCTTTTTTTTATTTCAGCAGGGTGAATTTTTATCTAAATGCAAAGCAGGTGATAGGTGCTCCAGTTTCCTCTAGAAGTAGCTCCCTTGTCTGGGCTCTCTTCCTGATAAGAGTCCTACTTTGCCTGACATAAAAGAACCTGGTATCATTTCCCCTGCTTCCCCAACAACCCCCAGCTCGCTGCCCTCGCCCTTCCCTGAGCTTCACAAAGCTGCCTCTATTTGCTCCCAATTCAGGGCCAAATTGTAGATAAAGTTACAGCAAATTTGTTTGGAGGAAGAGCCGCCGAGGCCTGCGCTCCCTCGGGCAATAACAGCCTTGTCTTGCAGGGGCCGCAGGGGAGAGCTGGCAGCAGCGGGAGAACAGAACCCAACACCGCTCGGCCCGACAATGGCCTCAACTTTCTGCAAGGCGGAGGAGAGGATTGTGTGTGTGTGTGTGTGGGTGGGTGAGAGGGGGTGTTGGAGATAAAGAAGAACAGGCATGGATGGACGGATGGATTGAAGAGAGAGATACTCTGCTCGCAGGTGTGGAGAATGGAAGCAGGCGCTTAACCCCGAGACAAGGAATGAAGAAACCCTCCACTCACACACTCTCAAAGACACCACCCATCATGCAGGACAGGAGGTAACTCCAGTGCCGTCCATTGTGCCAACGCCTGAGGCAAAGCTGCCACGGTGGCTGATTCACTGTGGGGATGGGCGGGTGACAGCAGTGTGGGTGTGTGAGAGAGAGAAAGAGAGAGAGGCTTCATGTGAGACTATGCAATATCTCCTTTTTTTCACATATGCACACAAAACACACACTAATCACAGCTGGCACTAATGGGTGATGTGTACATGCGGCTGGCATTTCAGGATTGGGCAGAAGGAGTCCATGCAGCGTAATTTAAACATTTCTTTGGGTGGAGGGAGTGTTCTGCTTTGACATGTTATGACAGCTACATTTTGATGCACTTCTAAAAAACATTGCTAAAAAAATGGAACAAAAAGAAAAGACTCAAATATATCCCCCTCAGGCTTGCTTGACTCTGATAAAGTCCACACATTTGTAAGTTTCGAGACTAAATTGCCGGCAGAAAGTTGGGCATAACATCTGTCTGCAGGCAGCGATGCACATGTGTGCGCGCACACATGGACATAATCGTACGCAGCAGCACACCTTCATGAATGCACCACCTTGGCCAGATGGCCCCCCATAAAAACCCACTTAAAGAGATGAGTGAAGTGATTAAGAGGCCTCTCAAAGTAAGGGAGAAATGAGATGAAGGAATGGCAGGAGAGGGAGGGAATACCTGCGTGGAAAAGAGGCCCTAAATACTCGGATGCTTTTAGCTAAGTGCGTACTCCTACGCTAGCAGACTCCCTAAAGGATAGGGGAGGAGTTGCGGGTGGGGGGTGGTGGTGCACAATGACACCTAAATTTCAGAATTACTATAAACTATAAAACACTTTGTCCTTGGCCTAGATACACCCTTTATCACCATCTGAATACTCTGGGTATAAATGAGCACAATAAGAATAGTCTGAGCTGTTAATCAGGAATGCTGTGCACCTTGCCTTTGAAACTGTTCATCTTTGAAGGCTGCACAGCGTCACAGGGTGTTCGCATGAAGCCTGAATCTCTCAAGGCTGTACCCTTCCCTTGTCTTTAACCATTCAAATTGACATTCTTTTGGTAAATTACTTTGATTTCTTGGAATTTCTGGATCATTTTATTTGGTTGTCTGGATCATTCGTTTATTTACTCCTAGTCGAATATATATTTATATAAATTAAGGTGGAAAATAACAGTGACTGTGCTAAACAAGGCACTATGACTCCACATTAACAACAACAACCTTCAGTGTGTAAATTCTTGCTGAGTGTATAATTTACATTTTCTTTCAGTATTTTCAAGAAACAAGTAAAAAGAAGCACGAAAACAACATGGAGATTGTAAAATGGACATTTTACCACCACAACGAAGAGTTCAGAGAAGAAAAAAACAGGAAGCTGATGTTATGGCAGCAAAATTATATGTGTTGTACAACACTAAATTAGAGAATATTTCAAACCTTCCATAAAGGTCATAGACAAGATCAGGATCTACTTACTGCATGAGGAAAACACACTTGATGTTACTAACTATGTGCTAATTATGCTAATAGTTATAATCAATAGCATAACAAGCTAGAGACAGTTTGAAATGTCATCTGCTTATTCATTGAGTCTATGTTGCAAAATAATAGTGAGTTTTTAATGTTAATCATAGGAACCCTGCCAAGGGATACCAAATAGTTGCAATAAACAAATGAAAGATTTTGTATCTATATCATATATAAGTAATTCCACTTTTTACAATTTAATTTTAAATTTTGAGAAGATGTGAATTATATTTGAAACGATCTTCGGCAAAATAACTAAATATATAATGTTTATGGCAAACTTGGACACTCGACTTTCTGCAAAACAAAGTGCAGAAGCTAATTTTTGTGTAAAGGATTTAATGACATACAGGGAAAGTCTTTCTAGTTGGTTTTATCTGCGCAGATACCTGATAACCTGCTGGATTCCAACATATTTGTAGAGAGCTGTGTAGAGTAAATCTGCACTGGTTTTGATAAAATGTTGTCTAATTTCAATACATTTAAATTTGGTCAAGACAGTAAAATCTCCTATTGCCGTAGAAAAAAAGTATTATATTACTTGGAAGAGATTAGGCAAAAACAGGCAGGTTCCAGACCAACACACACACAGAAAGCCCCCCCCCGTTCAAAACACACACAGAATGTAATGGAAAATGTTAACTGATCAATACTGCGTCTCTTCTGACCCACATCTTGTGATGACAGCGTGACCTGCAGTACAAACACACACATACAGCCTCTGTGAAGATTAAACTGGTGTCAAACGGCCAAATGGAGCTAATGTCTGCAGTGGAGACACTTAGTGGTCCCATGGTAAAGGGCCGGGTCAGGGTGGGCCCACCTGTCCTGTAGCTACTTAAGTCAGGGGACATAAAGCAGACAGGACTAAATGCCTGCTCTGTCATCTTTTAGGGCAGGAACTTCAAAGCAGGCTTTCACTGCTGTGGAGTAGAATGTCCTCTGCTGATAGCTCTGCTGTCCAATTATGCTTCACCTTTATAACTAGATGCCGATGACAGAGGAGAGCAGGAGACATGTGGAAGAGACAAGGGGGTGAGCAAAAGCGAAATGATCAGTTCTGTGCAGAAACTGCTTATAGTTTAATTTGCTTCCCAGATGGACATCCGGGGGTGAAAAAAAAAACCTCTAGCTGCAAATGCAAAGCTAAAAAAAAAAGACCAAGTAAGAGTCAGAACAGTCTAATCTCTACAGAAATGTTCCTAAGAACCTCTGAGAACATCCATGCTTGTTTCTCTGCTCTGGGTGTGTGTGTTTGCTGTAAGGAAAATGTAATCGCAGGTGCTCCCACACCTACCACAAAAGCACAGATGCTTCTCTGCGGAGAGTCCCATTCGAAGCAGCTGTTGATGTAGCAGCCTGTGTTGATCAGGAACATGATGCAGCGTCTGACTCGGTTAAAGTTACGCAAAAGCAGCTACGGAAAAGCAAAAGAGATAAATACCTTAGAAAGATGAAAAAGTGTCCAAACTATAGCATAAAAATATGAGAATAGACTTTTTAATATAAAACATTGTTTAATTGTAAACAGTCATAAAAAATTAAAACAAGCTGACAGGACATGTGGGAGAGGAAATCAAACTGGAGACTTATACTAAAATACTTTTGATGTTTTTTTCTTAAAAGCTAGTGGGATTTTAGGGATGCAAATTAAATTACAGCTGGAAACTGTAAGGTTTAAACCTAGTTTGAATTAAAGCAATATAATACCTTAAGACTCAAACCATAAATCGGTTTTCTTTGGTTTTAACAATCCCTTACAACACAGCTCTGTGATCCATCTCAGTTTTTGCTCTGAAGCCGTCGTTCCAAAAACAAGACAAGTGATGCCATCCTCTTGTGTTTCCAGCCATTCAGGGAAAAGCGTGACAGCAGCAAGGACAGGAAACTACCCAATCAGGTCACCACCAGGAGAACTGTTCCCTGAGGAGATCCTGTCTCTCTCGATGAACAAAAAAACCTTCTCTTTTTACTCCTTAGGAAACTGTTTATGTATTTAAAGTGTCTGTAGCTAAGATAATGTTGCTTTTGAACAGAGCTCTGTTTAAGAGTGACATCTGAAGGTAATTGATTACACTGGATTTTAATTAGAGGTGATAGAGCAAAAGAAGGGCAAGTATGAATTCATGCCCCAATTTTCCCTTTTTTTGGTTATAAATTTGAAAACTATGACTAATCTTTCAAATAAACACTACTTTGTGTCAGTTTATTAAATCAAATCTCTTTTAATTGAATAAAATGTCATAATTGCTTAATGAGTAGAGGAAAATCTTGCGTATGTCGACCACCTTTTTTATGATGCAGCTACAGGGACAGCCTTCACTGGGCAGTCCTTTCAAACCAGCCAATGACATCATCATTGAGAGACACTGACATGGTCATCTCCATGAGTCAGGGGTGAAATAGAGATGCGGAAGGGGGCAGAAAAAAAGAGTGAGCTGAGAGATGGGAGCAGCAGAAGAGGGCTTACAAAAAGGATGCCCGCTATGCTGCGTCGGGACGAGGCCTGGGGCCGCGCTCGGCTGTGCGTGGCGTAACATTGACTGCTGAGCCTGAACGGTCACTCATATGACACATCTGATGCGGGCCAGCCCCTACCATTCATCCCTTTGTGGTGCCGCCACACTGAGCAGCGTGACAATGAAGTGCAAAGCAGCAGTGGCAAAGAGGGCCAACTATAAGGATGGCCAATCTACTTATGCACCCCAGAGCTGACAGCTTGACATTTCTATTCACCATTCAGAGTGGATACGAGGGGGAAGAGATGAGGAAAGGGAGGGAGAGGCTGGAGGAGGAAAAAAAAACAACAAATTCTGTTTTTCTTTCAATCATCCTGTTGTATCTTGCCTACACAGTTGTCGTGCTTTATAGATGCCACTCATCGGTGTTGTTAGTTCCTGCTTTAGACATTTAAGCAAAACACGGATTCGAATGGGTGGACGCTGATCGAAAAAAAAGAGGAGTGGCAGATGATAAATGTTAGCTGGAGATGTACCTGTTTGGACACTTTAGGCTCCTCCTCAATGTACTTTTGTTCGATGGGAGTCAGAGTCCTGAGACCAGCCTTCACCTGCATAATACAGTAAACACAAAGTCTCAAAAATGGGATAACGGGGAGTAATGTCTTGATTATTACAAAGGTATTGAGAGAGCATAGCAGCACATTCATATAGAGCGTGCCCCATGTCAGAGGCGAGAGAGAAAGAGGGGGAGAGCAAGAGGCAGAGCTGTAAGATGGCCGCTGTAGGACACACACGGCGATGGTGAATGGGCGAACAAAGGCTGCTGAGAGGGAGTCTTCGATAATTAAAGGCAAAACGAGGACGAGGGACGACGGATGAGATAGAAATGAGGGAGAAAGGGGGGGGTGGGAGAATAAAGACAACAGCAGTATGGAAGGGGGCAAATGTAGGGGAAAACAAGAGGAGGATGAGAGTAAGAGGATAAGGAGGGGGGGTAAAAAGGGAAAAAAAGCAGGGAGGAGATTTTAAAAAAAGCAAAAAGAGAGACTTACAGCATTAAAAATCACGTCTATTTCGAGAAAGATGACCCCTTTTGTTGGCCCTGTCAGCTCCTTGCTTTTCAAGACGTAGGCTTTGCGTTCTCCATTTTGGATCTGTGGGAGAGGGACATGACAGGCGTCTGTCTGGCAATACCCGGCTGAATCGGCTCCCCGGGCCACCTTTGAACCCCAGCTGCTGGCGCTGACAGGGAACCAAAAACAACTGTGGCAACTCTGACAAGTACCTGTTCATTACCCACTGCAGCTCGGCTCTGTCAAACAGAAATTAACTATCCTGGGGAATCACACTGTTACAGCAAAGCACCGCTATACAACGCACTCTGCTTTCACAAGCTATATTTTTACCAAATAAAAGAGGCCGTCTTCTTTCACCTCCAAGTCGGATCTTTCTGTCTATCAGCGTCATTTTCATCATATCTCTTATCCACTTATTTTATATCCTCTCACCTATCAATCTATACCTTACTTTTTACTCAGCTCTTCCATTTATTTCTGTTTCCTGTCAACTTTTCTACTTTGAGAAATAATAATGTCATCAGTGGAGTTGCAAAAATAACCTCTGCTTTTTATATCCTCCTCTGTTTTTATTCTCTCTGTTCCTCGGCTGTATGTTCTCTCTCTATTATTCCCGAGGGAGGAGGAAAAAAGAAACAAACAGAAATCTTGCCTTTGACTCACATTTAGCAAAGGGATAGCCACTTTCCCAAGGAAGTCGGCACTTCTGTCTCGGTCCTCGTCGTAAACAGTAACCTCAAGCACAGAGTGGATGTCCTTGACGTTGCTGGACCACACACAAAGACGGGGACATAAGTGAGCTTAGGACTCATACTGATACCAATGCTGTTTCATCTTAGTTGAGTCTTACAGAAAATGATTTAAATAAAAATGCTCAAATATAATATAATGTACAATCATCAAAATAAATACTACAAATTCACAATTAGTTTGGAGAAAAAAAAGTCCTACATAAAAAAAAAAAAAAAGCTTTATGGAACTGCAATGCAGCCACTTTTTAATATAATAAGTACATAAATCCGATTGCCAAATTTATAAAGTTAGCAAAAAAAAAATAAAATTTTTTATTAATAATTACGTGAAAGAAAGCATTAAAATATTCACAAGAAAGTTACTATGTTAATTGGTAATCCTCATTATTGTAAATAAAATGTATATTTCTTAATACTGAAATCTAGTGTATTTTAACCTTGTCATTTTTTATTTTCATTTTTAATAAATAATTTATATATTTATGATTAACAAATTCCATAAGAAAATATATTAATCTATTCTATTAGTAATATTTAAATCTAAACGTCCATTTAAGATATCTAAGTTTGCTCTTTTAAAAGTAAAATAATACAGATTACAATATATATCAAAAAAAATTTGTAGGGAAAATCCACAAATATTTGTAATATTATTTAAACTTTATTACTTACCTTTTACGTGTGTTATAAATAAATAACAAAATAAATGAAAAATATACAAATAAATAAATAACAAAATAAATAAATACTAAAAAATTTCCCTTACAAAGTGAAGACCTTGTTCCACTCTGGATTTAGATTTTTGTAGACGGTGTGTGTCTGTAGTCGATCATTGCTCAGCTCCACCACACAAAACGGATCGCTTTTACCTGTCAAATATAAATAATGTACACAAACATAGCCTTTAAAATAAATAAATAAAACAAATTTAAAAGCTAGTCCTTAAAAAAGTTTGCAAACTACTGTCTTTTTCAGAATTCTACAGATTGAGAGAATCAGAAAGTCTGATTAAACCAAGAATACACAGAACCTCAACATGCTTTCATACATCATGGGAATCAGGATTCATCAGGACTGTCCTAATACGATCCTTTATTGCTTCACTCTCGGTGTTTTGCACATTTGAAAACATTCAAACAGGAGGACAGGGGCAGACAAAGGAAAAAGTCAAAGAGGACTTTAAAAAAAGAGGACAGAGAGGTCGACATGGAAAATTGGAGGTTGGAAGATGAAGACAGCCGAGTTTTGGATATAAGAGACACATCTGGTCTAATTCCTGATTTTCAAATGAGCAAGTGGGGTACTGTTGTAAAAGATGAGTGAAAAAATGATGAAAGAGCAGCTGGAACAAAAAAAGCTGCTCTTTGTCTTTGTTGTTTTATTTCTTTTTTTTCTTTGAAATGGTTGTTAGGTGTAGAAATAAAAAAGAAATTAAAAATCTGGAAAATGTCAGAAATTTGCAGGCAAGTTTTGGCTCTTTGGCAATCAATAAAGACATGTATCTTCTTGTTAACTAATAATCATAATGAGATAATAAAATTAATCAAAACAAAACCTTTAAATAAGTATTTACTCCAATCATGAAATAGAGGTGAAAATATATCCTTCAGTTATTTTTTTATCCTAAAAATCTCCTGCAGAACTTTAAAAGCAGGCAATCTGCCATTATATTCTCTATTTCTTTTTACAATAATTTTACAGTATGTGAGGCATCTTTATGCCAAGTTACCCAGAATGAAACCAGCTCGCCATGTCTGCCTACCCACCTCCCCTTTGATTGTCCTCAATTCTGACTTTGATCATTATGCCTCATTAAATAAAAAAACAAAAAAAACAACCCAAAAAAAAACTGTCAAGATCCATTTAATATTCTATTCCTTAATGCATTAAAGTACAAAGTGAGTAAGTTCAAAAACATAATAAAGTAATAATAAGTATTAGCTGAACACATTGTTGCATAATAAAACTCACTAACTTTAGGATTGAGTGCAAAGCCCCCAAAAAACATTGGCTGGGTGTTCGTGACTGAATCACGGGAGGCGCTTCAGTGAGTGTCATCGATTGGTGTGATTTTCTTCAAATGTTGTGACAAGGGCAGGACATTTAGGAGGTGTGCAAAGTAAATGTCACTGTGATCAATGCTGAGGCGTAGGTGTTGCCTTTTATATCTGTTTGTGGTGCTTTATTGATCCAAGCGGGTTTCAAGTTGATATTGGCAGCTCCTACTTCTGCGACTGGAAACAAGATACATTAAAATTGACAAAAAGGCAGAGCAATCAAGAGCCTAGTTTTCAGTGTATTTGGGTATAACCTGAATTAAAACAAAAGTGTTTAATTATGAGTGCAGAAAATTCACTAAAGTTATATATCAATATACAAAAAATCAAGGTAAACTTTTGTTCCACTAGTAATCAAGAAGCCACCAAAACAAATCGGCCAAAAAATTTAACTAAGTGCAATCACCAATTTTGATATAGTAATTAATTCTGCAGGGTGTTATCCCCCATCCTGTTGCCCCCAGTTTCCCCTCTAATATTCTGCCTTAAATGATGGGGCTCCATGCGCTGTCGCTGAGAGCCAGTTGTTACGGTTGCTGAACTTTCACCTTATTGGTTGCCAAGAACCAGAGGAGGCTGTCGTAACCAATTATACGCTCAGGTTTGATTGTCACTGAGCGCCCATCCAGGTAATGTCCGGGTAAAGCTCCTCCCACCCCCCTGGGTCCCATTTCTGCGATGCTGGCAGTAAAGGAGTGGACTTAAATTAATTTCAGAGCACTCTGAGGTAAACTTGGAGGAGGAACGCAGCAGAAAGGCGAGGCGAAGAAAAGTAATTGCCCCTTTGAAAGCTTACAGCTAGTAAGAAGTTTAAAGTTGAAGAGGAGATACACCATAATATTACAATTAATATGAGATTGGCTTGAAAAAGTATGGACTCCTATTTTTACTTCCACATTCTGTTATTGACAGAAACTAATTTTTTTTTTGTCATGCAAGTGACATGACAACAAAAAGTGTTGTATTGTTGTATGTTGATATGGTGCAATAAAAAAAAACCTGTTGATTTGGTTTGTCTTAAAATGTCTATCCAATACAAACATTTGTCTTCAAGTACATCAATAGAAGTAAAAGAAATGACTGGATAGATGAGAAAAACACAATTTGGTTTAATTTAACCCTGGTATAAAGACTTTATGTAAAGGAGGAAGGCAGGTTATTAAATAAAGTCATGATAAGTCCTGTCCCATAAGCCTTGTACAATAAGGGACATAGAAGACATATGGAAAGTCACACAAGACTAGAGCTGAAGTTTTGTTTCCATGTGAACATTCCCATCTTTGAACATGCAATCTAAATGTGAAACAGTAATGGCAGCGTCATGTTTTGGGGCTCAACGTTGTTAAAATTGTAGAGATGATAAATATTAAATAGTTAAATATGGGGAAATCCTAGAAAAAAGCAGGAGACATAAAAGTTAGAAGTGAGTCAAAGTTTTGAGACTTAAGAAGCGGATTGGTTTCCAGGCCAACACTGTGCCTGTGTGTAAAACATGGTGGCTTCAGCGTCTTGTTATGGGACTGATTTTCTGGAAAAGTTTGAAGATTCATGGAGCGTAATACAGCCTAAAGCTGAAAGAAAACATTCATCAGAGGGTGAAAGAATCTGAGGAGGTGAGAGGCTTTGAATTAAAATAAAAATTAATATAAATAAATAATAAAAAAAAGGATTATATGTTTGAAAGGCCCAGTCAAAGTCTAAGGCAATACTTAAATAAATATCTTACACTTACGTCCACTTTGAATTAGATTTAACTACTCTGTAAAAATAACAAAAAAAGAAACACTTTAGCACTGTATTTAGATGTGAACATTTTATTGGGTTACAACCCAAATGTGAAACAGAAATTTGCAACAGAAGAATATTAACTCCACCAGGCTTAGCATGAACTTATGCATAACTTTCCAGAAAAGAAAGAAAGAAAAGAAAATAATGCTGTATCAGGAGTATCAATGCTTTTTGTAAGACTTTGCATCTTTAGTTTAAAATGCAAATAGGGAGAACATTTTGAATTTCCTGAAATCGGTTTCAACATGGCTTAAAAAAAAGAATCTTAGCAATGCAGTGATGCTGCTGCAGGTATCAGTGTGTGCCTGTGTATCCCTACTAAAATGTTCTAACACTATAGCATCCACTCAGAGGGACAAGAGCTGGCACACAAAAGGGATTGTTGGTTTTAGAGACTATTTTCAGTTATCCTACTTGGGCTGGAGTGGAGCTACTCCACAAAAACACTCCAATTAGAGAGAGAGATGGCCAGAGAGAAGAGGGAGAGAGGAGGAGGAGGAGGAAAAAAAAGATGAGGGAGAGGAGCCTGAATGGGAGCTGGATGGTGAACTCTCTCTGTCTCACTGACCTCCTCTCTCCGTCTGCCCTCCTGCCTCTGTCTGTCTGTTTGTCTGTTCTTCTGTTTCTTTCTCACCTTGCTCCTGACCCTCTCTTGGTCTGGGTTGTTAAAAAGGGGTGTTCATGTGGTGAGGGCTCTTATGGGGCTCTTACACAGCGATTGTTTCTGCCAGTGACACGCACAAAGACACACATGCACGCACACACTCAGTGTATTAGACTCAAAACTGAAATAAGCCATTTTGAAAAAAGCCCCTTTCACCTACAAGTTCACACGCTGTATTCATCTATCGCCTCGATGGAAAAGATTATGCTTCAGGGAACCAAAGGAAATATAGAAACTTTGTTTTTCTGAATGTCCATATTCAATAACGTGTCAGATGGAAAAGCCCAGATTACTTAAATGCCAGTCGGAGAATTAGAATCTGATTGAAGTCAATGTGCTAAAAGCAACAATTTGTGGTTTAGAGGTTGGTTTAAGAAGGAAAGAAGAGCCATGTGCTCTTTTGGTATAGTAAGCAAATAGAATCAGAAAAAATAAAAATAAATGATTTAACAGCAACTAATTAAAAGAACACTGCTTTTCTGTGAGATTCTGTGGCATATCTGTGCTTCATTTATGCAGCAAAAGAATGAAACACATTCTACAGATTGATGGAATAATATTGAAGGGCTATATTTTATCCTGTGAAGCTTCCAAACTAAGTTTTGGGTTGGAAAACTTTTGCAAGTTATTGTAAGAAGCTACATTTCTAAGGCAGGGGTGTCCGATGAATGACCTTTGTACCATCTGCAGCACTCAAGAGTAGTTTCTGACCACAATATAAGAACAGTGAAAATCCTGTCAGTTTGTGTGGAGGTTTGAAGGGCCCAAATGCAGAGACGGAAGCTGAGGGGGTTTCTTGCAGATTTAATAATTCAAAAAGGGTGCAACTGAAGCAAAAATCAAAAAATAACAAAAGACAGAAAACCAAAAACTAGGAGATATCAGGGAAAATACACAAGAGGATCAAGAAAGGACAAGGAACCAGCAAACAGTAACTGAAGAGGAGACGTATGAAGAGGAGACTGAACAAAGACGGGGCTAATCAGCAGATGAGGAACAGGTGTGGATGGAATCATCTAGAAGGAAGCAAAGGGAAGGAGACTGACACAAGAGGGCAACAGAGGATAAACAAGAAATACATATACATACAGAAAACAACACAAAATGGTAATGAAACCAATGAAAACTCGAAAAGAAAATTTAAACAAAACCAAAAAGTGCAAAACCGTGACAAGCTCAGGTGGTTCAGTAGATATTTTATGTTGTTGTAGCTTTCAAGGTAAGACATTCACTTATCCTAAAGCTTTTGAAAAGATGCTTTAAAACCTTAATAGAATAGAAAATTAAAAGCAAAACAGATAGTTGTGGTCATTGTCAAAACCACCAATATCAAGTGGAGGAAAGCTAAACGCGCAATTTCAGAACAGCATAGGCTGCGAAAACTCATTAAACGTGTATTCTGCTATTGTAAACAGCTACCGGATATTTTTTTGCAGTTTTATTCTTAATTTATAAAAGAATACATAAACCTCAGAGTGAATGATGAGCTTTGCAACAGTGTCACAGAGCACATTTCTGCTTGGAGTGAAACCCATGAACCAGAGAGCCATTAGCCCTGCACTCTGACTGCTCCTGTCGCTCCCCACAGTAACCCAAATCAACCAGCTCCACTCTGTATTTGCTAATGGGACTGTGGGTGTTTCAAATCGAGAAAAACTCTGTCTCCCTGCCACACACACACACAGACACACACGTACATCCTTCTCTTTACCAGATAATACAGAGTGAAAAACTAGGCCTGTCCACGGTAGACCTAATTAAAAGTAAGAATTAATGGAGGATGGAGGATTCAGAGAGAGCAAGCAGAGAAAGCACAGGAGGAGGGACGAGAAAGATTTGTTGGTTCAAATGTGTACTTTTTCTCTATTATTCAAATGAGAAGCCCGCATCTTTGTTAAAACTACGGAAACAAATTTATCCAATGCACAAAGCAGACTTTTCTTTTCTCTTAGGATTTACATTTGCAATTAACTCTCTAAAGAAAGTTGCACCCTAACTTTATCTTTGAGCAAAGACCTGCAGCGGATTGATGGTAAATGTAACCGTTTGCAAGAGAAATTGCTCAGCGGTTTAAAATTAAGAAGCAGCGCCTGGGCAAGGCAAATGTACACAGGTTCCTTGAACCCTTTTAAACACTGAGATATTGCAAATACAAATGTCAGCATATTTATTTCAAATTTTACAAGACAGACATAAAATAAGCAATACATTTTAAATTTTGGTTTAACTAATAAAAAACACTACAGCATTTAACCCCCTTCATTCTAACACCTCCTAATAGAATCTAGTGCATAAGTTGCCAAATTGATAAACTGAGTCCGTCTGTGTGTGCATTACTCTCCATTAATTCATCTTTTTCTAAAAGACCCAAGGGGTGTTTTGGAGAACATCAGTGATGGAACAGCATCTTAAAGACAAAGAACTACAGCGGAGAGATCATGGAAAAGACTGTAGGAAATTTTAAAGTAGAGTAAGGTTATAAAATAGCATCTCGCAGCATTTCACAGAGCACTGCTAAAATGATCATATGAAAATGAAAGCAGTTTTGCAAAAACTGCATGCCTTCCACGACATGACAGGACATCAAAACCAGCAGCAGGGAAAGTTAATGGGAATGTGGAGGATGTTTAAGGCAGGGAAACCTTGGAAATTAACCCGAGACATTTAATATAACTAGAGCTAAAGATAATGGATTAAAACAAAGCATTGCAATGTGTTAGAATAGTCCAGTCAATATTTAGACCTGTGGCAAGGCAACAAAATTACTTCTCAGGGGTCCGCTTCAGCAGGAAACTTCACTTGGAGGGATCAAAACAAAAGCCCCAATAATACTTTTCATTTTTGAAATAGCAAAACAGAATAAAAAACCTTAAGATTTTCTTTACAGCATGCAACTGTGGATTACTTTGTCTTTGTTTATCTCATTAAATCTCTAGAAAATACCTAGAAATGTGTGGTTCTAACAGTGCAAAACGTTTAAATTTATATGAATAGTATTGCAGTAAAAACCATGGATTCCACTAAAGCAAAATATCATTAATGAATATCTATTTTATATTTGTGCTGTTTGTGCTTGACGTCATCAACCTACCTGTGACATCTGCCGCCATTAGTCCTTCAGCTCTGATGACCTTCACCTGAACCACGCCGACATCTTTCAAGTTGTGGAGTGACCTCCAGAGGCTCTGCAACATTGCAAGAGAGAAGGCAAAGAGTCAAAGAGGACAGCTAAAAGCATCGAAGTGAAAGGCACTTTAATAACCTGACATTTTATTAAGAGAGGAACTGGTAGAATCTGTTCTTTACGGCGTCTTTATTTGAAAATTTAGAGCTGGCATTAACGGCCCAGGCTATCCAAAGGACAAATGGTAGAATTTAATCAGGCAAAATACTCGCACTCACCTTTTTGTAATTTGGACTTGTTAAACAAAATGGGTCAAAGGGGTGTCCCCCCCAAAAATACATGTAAAAGTCATGTTAAAAACTGTAAAGCAACTCTACTTTTACACTTTTACAAACTTTGCACACTTAAAATATATCCAATATTTGCTAATTTCAGTGGCTCAATCACATCCTTTTTTATTGTTTCAATACAATAACAGTTGAATGTTGGAGAACAGGAGTTGTTTGTGGGTTTCTTTTAGTTCTCTGTTCTACTTATTTGGACTAAGAAAATGTGAATAATGTAATAACAGAGATATGACAGTGAGTACTGGTGAGGCATGACTGGCAGGGATATAGTAGTTATGGCGCAGGCACACAATGACATTCAGAGATCAAATGAAGTCTAGAGAGAAGAAACAGTCTACACAATGTTTTAATAACAAGGTTAAAGAGAGATACCAGAGTAAAAACTGCAGTGCAGGTACTCATACTGTTTTTGCACACACTGTCACTGTTTCCCCACTTCCTACCTTCTTTTTATCAGGTTAGTACATATGTTGACAATACAATTTCAAATACTCATATTTACCATGAGTGGTTCAATCAATCATTCAAAAAGGTGAAAGAAGTTTGGCATATCTGTAAATCTTCCAAGGCATGACCACCTGAACCAAAGGCCAGGAGAAGGGAGAAATATCAATAAGGTCTGCTTTAACTCTAGAGGAGCTGCAGAGATTCACCGCTCAGGTAGAAGAATTTGTTCTCACTACAACTATTATGTTTGCTCTCCAAAAAAAACTTGTATATAGTATATAAAACCAAAGAAGAAAAAAGTTTATCTTACTAATTTGCCCAAATGTATACAGAGAACGGAGCAAACATGTAAAATAAACAAAGCACCATGAAGCATGGTGATGGCAACATTATGCTTTGAAAAGGCCTGTTTTTCAGCAGTTAAGTGATGATAGAATTGATGGTGCTAAATACACACATTTAAGTCCTTGAAGAAAACTTGTTACAGCCAGGAAGAGGGTTTGTGGCTCTATCATCATAATCAGAAAACCTTCCACTTAACACTTATGCACTACTTATTGTTACCCGGTCATGTAAAATCCCAGTGAAATAAACTGAGAGTTTGTGGTTGTAATGTGACAATAAGTGAAAAGGTGCCAGGCACTGTACCTGGTAAATCTGGTACATGAAAGGAGAGCCTGTGGAGATCTGTGAGGCATGCACAAACAATCCTCAACTTGGAATTTTGCTCACATCTAACCACTAAGGTATAAACACAATCATTAAAAAAACACGTAACTGGGGCCAAACTGAGTGGCGTGCATCTGAGTGGCGCGTCTTAAAAGCAGAGTGAAAAACGCACTTCACTTCAATTTATTTCTCTCTCTCTGGCAATAACCCTTCCATCCCCACAGGAGTAATTATAATTTAAATTTCAGAGTCAGGGCTAGGCTACAGACTTAATTCATTATTACCAACTCTGTCAGACTCTGCCTGTTTCCAGCGATATCATTGTCCAAAAAGCTCACTAAAGGAGATGAGAGGGGGAAGAAAGTGTGTAAAAAGAGGAAGAAAAGAGAGGGAAAAGTGCAGAAAAGAGAAGTATGCAGAAAAAGAGGGGCGAGTTTCAAGTTGGAGGCTTGATTGCTTAGAAGATACAGCAACAGTGAGAGGCGGTAAGGGAAGGAGGGTGAAAGAGGTCACAATACAATCGAAATTATTCAAACAGAAGCATTAATATGAGATTATGTCTTTTTTTATATATTAAGGCCAAAACATGAGTAAAATGTATGCATTTTCAATTTAGAGTAATTAGAACAACCAGGAGACCAGATATTTATATGACATCATAGTGAAGCATTTTCCATTTAAAAACCCTCATTCAAAACCTTGCTTAAATGTTTTAGTCTCCAAGCCTTCCTCAGCTCTTCATTCCTTTCTAGCCCTATTGCTGCTCCCTGAGGGGACATCTGGGGTTAGGCCTCAATTCCTGATTGGTAAAGACAGAACAAACCCATCCTCCACAAGGATTCAAATCCTCATCAGAAGAGACAGACTGTAATAGACTGACTGGACAGGATAAGTTGGAAGATAGACAGATGGGTGGACCAACAGCCAGGCTTATTTCTCCTCGCATCTGCGCACAGGTGGAGTGATGGGGATAAGGAGGAAATGAGAAGGAAGATGAACAAAGCACACATTATGGAAAGAGTTTTCTTTCATACGATGAACCCTCTGCCCTCTGTGTGACTGACAGCCCGTCATCATGACATCTTCTTTCTGTCTCTGTCACACTCTGCAGACGTATAAACACACAAATGAATCAGAGCTGGCATAGTCTTATGACTCACTGTCATTTTCTGCAGCATGTCACATTTCATCACGGGTGCGTTTCAGAAACAGTCTCACTGCATCTGCCCTGCAGCCCATAAGTTCTTAGGATGTTTGATCAAATGATGGTAAAGATTCAAACAAATAGCAAATTCTAACCCCCTTTTTCCATCTGATTCAGTGTTTGCAAGAAGCTGCTCATCATGCACTTGCACCAAGAACAGCCTCTTATTGGTTCTCACTTCCTGCCCAGGTTATGTCCTTTCACTTCCTCTTAGAAAAGTGCACCAGAGTGGGTAGGAGAGGTAGTGCCGACATGTACGTCTACACTGGTGGTGGAGTGCCAACACTTCATTGGAGGTCATCCCGTCCTCCTTGTCTCATCCACCCATCTCGTGGCCACCTCAGGCCCATTAAAAGCCATTAGCGTGCATGCTCCTTTGCCATCATATTGCATAAATCTCTTTCTCTCTTTTTACCTCTCATTCTGTGTCCTTCTCTATTTCTGAAGAACAACTAATTAGACATGATGGAAAGGTTATCGTAAGAAGCAGAACATCTAATGAAGCTACAGCACTAAATTTATTGTGTAAGATGTATTTAAATATAATGTATACATGAATGGAAACATACACCACATGCACACTCATATATAGATGCACCAACATAATTCTGATCTAAACTACTCTGTGATTTTCAGGTCAGGAAATATATTTATATATTTTTTTCTCTTGCTCACACGCTTTTGTCAGTTGTCTAACACTTACTTGGACTTAAGTGCTGCCTAAATATCTAAAATTAAGTCAGAAGAAAGCTCTACAAAGAAATCTTCTATTCTACTTTTAAACAAAAAGGGAGCATATATGCTTTATTTCCTCTTAAAGAAGTCAATTTATCTGCTACTCTACTAACGCTTGAGCAAAATGTCAACATTAGTTTCCTCAATAATTTTGTCTTCATTTTATGCAGAAATAATAAAAAAAAAACTTTTTAGTGAAACTTGACTATCCATCCATTCATGCATCCATCCATTTGTTTCCGCTTTATCCGGGGCCGGGTTGCGGAGGCAGCAATCTAAGCAGAGATCCACAACCTTCCCGATCCACAAACACTTCCTCCAGCTTCTCTGGCGGGACCCCGAGGCCATACCAGGCCAGCTCAGAAACATAGTCCCTCCAGCGAGTCCTGGGCTTTCCAAGAGGCCTCCTCCTAATGGGACATGCCTGGATCACCTCCTGAGGGAGGCGACCAGGAAGCATCCGGAACAGATGCTCGATCCACCTTAGCTGGGTCCTTTCGACGTGGAGCAGCAACGACTCTACTCCGAGTTCCTCCTGGGTAACAGGGCTCCTCACCCGATCTTTAAGGGTGCACCCAGCCACCCTGCGAAGGAAACTCATTTTGGCCGCTTGTATTTGCAATCTTGTCCTTTCAATCATTTCCCACATCTCATGACCATAGGTGAGGGTGGGAACATAGATCAATCGGTAAATTGAAAGCTTTGCCCCCCCGACTCAGCTCCCTCTACACCACGAGAGTCTGATACAGCGACCACATCACTGCCGATGCTGCACCGATCTATATATCAATCTCACGCTCAGGTCTGACTTACTGCTGGCAACGCCAACCAAGCTCCTGCTGTGGTCATACAGAGAGCGGACAGCCCTTAACTGAGGAGAACGCCTTCTCCAGAAACGACAAAACAAATCTGGACTGGTTGGGTAAACTCCCACAAACCCTCGAGCACTCGATGAAGGGTATAGAGCTGGTCCAGTGTGCTACGACCGGGAGCGGCACACTGGCTTAAGCTTAACCATAATGATAATATTCAGGTTAGTTATTTGAGAATTACTTCTGAATGCTAGATCTAAGACCAAACACTCAAATATTAAGTAGTACATAGATTTTAAATGGATGTGGTGGGAAAAAATGGATAACGTATAATATGCAGGACTTTTATATCCTGAATAGTCTAAAAAAGATAAATAAGCTTCAACAAGATGGATACTAATAATCCCTGTGCCATTCAGGTGTCTGTTATGGGTTTTCATCAGTGGCTTTAGTCTGAAATAAAGCAACAAATGCCCGCTGTGACCTTATTGTGAACATTTAGGTTGTGGGCTGAAATATTTATCTAAGTGTAATGACAGGAACTCTTTGTGGATCTAACATTAGTAAAAAAAAAAAAAAAAAGCTTGCTGCTTACTGTTTGAATTAAAACTTCTAAATATGTGTTTTTGTCATTAGGCTGCATTTTCTGCTTCACTGTAATTTGTACAGCTTTTGATGATAACTGATTTTCCCAACAGACACATTCCGTTTTGTGAGATATGGCTGACACACAGCAGGTAGCTACTGTTTTTTTGTGTGTGTCTGCATGTGAATGTTCACTTGTGATTAGCAGTAGCCGATGCTTTGTGCTGCACAGCTGATTCTAGGCTGATAAATATTAGTCAGTAATAGTCTCTGCATGTGCATGTATAGTGCACACACACACGCACACACCGGGGAGATTAGCGGGCTTTCAGCAGTGCTGTTATATATTAGTGGTGGTACTTGGTCTAACCAGAGCTCTTTGATAAGGTACATCTTTATTAAATTCTCCAACTGAAAGACTGCCAGTCTAGGGAAAAGGAATATGTTAATAGGCAGAGACCATTCAAGTCTTCAAACTGACCTTACTGTGCCCCTCCATCTGCAACCCCCTACTTTCTTCCCCCTCCCTCTATCTTTCCATCCCTTCATCTCAAAGGAAGGCCAAGGCAGAGGCAGACAAAGAGCTGACGTTGCTCTGAGAGAGGGACAAAAAATGGGGAGAGCAGGAAAGAGACGGAGGCAGGCATAGAAGGTAGATGAAGGAAGTAAAAAGTGCCGCCTTTAGTAAGGCGGAGAAAAACGGGGTATGCAAGAGTTGTGAGAGAGGTGAAATAGCTTTTTCTTCTGATTTTGCATGCCTTCCTTTCCCAATGCAACCCTCACCCTTTACCTCTTGCTAACGTTACACACATTCACTCAGCCACACATACCAGCTTTCTTATTTCCTCCACCGTCATTTTGTGGCCTTCAGGAGAGGCACAGCATGATTCTGTCTCAGTCCTAGAGCTCCACCTTCTGATTCGAGATGGTCTCTGCAGCGGCGACCGAAGCGGACAACCTCCTGTGGCTAGCCAACAAGGCACCGCCATGTATGTAGGTCGCTGCATTGGTGTTTGGCCACATGTTGGAAGGTGTAAATACTCACCAGCAGGGTGGTGTCGGTCAAAGAAATCCAATCACTGTCCCGTTATATCTCAAAACAGACAAAACCTAACTGATGTCAACACACTCAATCTCACAGCATAGCATGTTTCAGCAGTTTTCATGGGTGCTGTAGTGCAAAAAAGAGAGCTGTCAGGAAATTCAGGCGTTTTGATGAGAGTGATCTGGGGGTCATGTTAACAAGACTGAGAGTGACGAGGAGTGATGGGTGAATAAGACTATGACAAAGGCTTAAAGCCTTTGTTTGAGCAGAGGATTCCAAAAAAAAAATGTTACTGTCTTTTTTTTTTTAAATCTGTTCATTCAACAAATATGCTTATTGGAAACAAGCTAACAAAGCATTCAGTCTGCACAATTCCCAAATAGGCATAAGACATAACTTGATCTTCCTTAACCTTTTGCTCCTCGTGTTTTCTAATTCTTCATCTACCCCTCCTTTATTGTCTGTACCTCCAAACCTCTAATCATACCTTCATTTATCAGCATATGTGATAAACACTTTCCTTCAACTTAAATAATATCCGCCTTTCATCGGAGGAAGGTTGCAAACTAATGTGTTGTTAGAAGCTCTAGTTTAGCTGTTAATATAAATGAGTTTTCATTTACAAAATGCATCCCACCACATGACAGGAATGTTGACAGTCACTGTGTCCAACAATATCTGAGTGTAAATATTCCTTGAAAAATTCAAATAATCCAAAAATCTTAATAGCAGTCAATTTCAACATGCTTCCGTCCAGAACTCACATATCTTTGTGTAATCTGGTGCCTCTCATTTGGATCATCCAAAATGTTGACGGACATGTCTGAGATGGAAACGGCAGCGGATGCAGTGAGCGTGACCAGTAAAACCAGAACACCGTACCCTTCCTCCAGTGGTAGGTCAAGCTTGTGAGTGTGTTCTTTACTGAGAAGCGACAAGTCGATGGTACACCTGAAATAAAGCATTCATTAGAAAGGTGAAAACGCTGTACAAACACTCCTTGTTTGTTTTTAATGATTTCATGTAGATGTTTTTGCTCGTTCTTCACTGTGACAGGAGCTGAGAAAGGGAAGGGGGAAAAAAGGAATGTGCAGGAGGTAAGCAACAGAAGACAACTTAGGCAAAGCTGACGTATTTGATTACTTTTAGTAGGCACTTAAGCGCATCCTCTCAACTGAATTGATTTTCTTGCTTGGCCTTAATGCATCTAGTGTTAAAATGGCAGCCTAATAAAAATGACATGACTTGGTTTCTGGCATGCCCTTCAAAGCAAAGGTTTGTTAAAGTGGGTTTTAAATTTGCACACTTACTCTATGCATGGTAATAATTCAACCTGAACAAGGGTTAAAAAATGAGCAGTTCAGTGAAAAGAGAAAACATAACCACTTTAGATTACAGTGATAAATAGCCCTGCTGGCTCTGAGACATCTTTTAGCATAAGACTAGTACACAGGAAAGCTCCAAATATCTAACTCCTACCAGATTTTGCTGAGGTGCAACTGAATTAAAGAAAAGGAAAAATAATGAGTGATAAAGACTACTGTACCTGCCCATGAAGTCATCCTTCTTGCCAGCGTCTCTGTCCCACACTGTGATGTCTACGTAGCCTCCCTGTTCTTCATACAGGTGGAAATCAAACTGCTCTCTCCACTGGGGGTTTAGTGTTTTGGCAATAGTCTGAATAAAAGGCAGATTGACATACATGGTTTCTTCTCCAGACTCAACTATTTCTCTCTCATTTGTTAAGTACTACACTTGAGCTAAAAATCCTTCATACACCAGCCATATTTAGATTTAGAATGACTTTCATAAAAAAAAAAAAATATATATATATATTTTTCTTTTTTAAAAGATATGGATGCATATTGCTCAAAACATAAAAACAATGCTTGTTAAAAGAGGAACAGCTTTTAGCTACATTCTTTAATGCCAACAATCGGAGTCATGATCCTACTACCGCAGTTTATTTATCCCTGCTGCCATCAGAGATTATAATTATAACTTGGTGTAATAACACTGTAATAACTTATACTATTTATCTATTTTGTTTTGTATACACTATGCGTATAGAAAATGACAATAAAAGTTGTCTAAGTCTTGGTCTAATTAGCAAACCAGAAACCACACTTTACCTGCCACCACTTTACTGTACATAAGATACTGTATATATAAGTCACCTTAAATCTTTTTAACATCCACTGTGTATATTTCTGGATGCACTGTATATCATTCATGCACCTTTTCCTCCCTTTTGCAGCTCCTATTAGTTTATCATGTCGCAAGTGAATTTCTCCATTCTGAGATCAATAAAGTTCTATTCTGTTCAGTTACTTTAAATTATATTGATTTTTTTATTTGCATTTATCTGAGTTCTGTGCTGTGGATATTAACTTTTTTTATTATAGTTATTTCTGTATGTACAGTAGTAAATTGTTTACTCAGTGTTCATTGTTCTTTTAGGTATCCCATGTTTTCCTGTTGTCATTACTCTCCTATCAGTTCCTTAGCCTTCCTCTCCTCTTAGTTCCCATTGTTTTGTGTTTTAAACTCCCTATTTTCATAATGACAGGTCCACAGTTTTTAATCTTTAAATCTTTAAATCTTTCTCTTGATCCTGCTGTTGGTATTGTTCTGATGCAGTGTATATCACTGGTGTTGCATGTGTTTTCTCTTCAGTAATGAAATATAATCATCATAAACCTGCCTCAGCCCTGTTGCCATTTAGGTCTCTGACATACCATTAACAAGACATTTATTGAGAGTTTTCTAAATAATCAATGCAAAAACCTTCAATGGCATTAAAACAATAAAATCTGTCCTATAAATGCTGACCATTGTGTTTCCAATAGCGATGAAGGTTAAGTTGTTAATCTAAGGTTTAACTTCTCTGCAGATACTCTATCAGCTGTATGTCTAAAACGTTAAAATTATTTTAAGTGAGAAGAAAACTGTTGGGAAAATTAAAAAACTATTATCACCACAGTGTGAATGATCTTGGGCTTAACTGGTAATGCTGTATAGGATTACACAGTTTACATAAAGGTACTGCAGAGCATTTGATCCAAAGGGAATTATAATAAGTAAAAAGGATTACCCAAAAAATACCAAAAATATTATATGAAAAATAAAACTGAACAGGAAATTTCTATTCAGTAATATACATACTGTATTTCTATATAAAATATAGCTGAATTAAATTTTAGGTTTATAGGAAAATAAATAGATGGATCAATCTTTGTTTTGTATGAAATAGTATTTTTTTTAATTAATTTTATAAATATTATCATATTAGGTGATTTAATGTAAGCATTGAACACGTTCAGCAGCTACGCCTTTACCTTGCTCTTGTACTTCTGATGACCCATCTTGAACTTGACATAAGGATCGCTGAATCCGTTGGCATCCATTGGCTGCAGGTTACGACCTTCTATTAGGCTGATGCTGACTATACCCCGCCAGAGCTGGGCTTTTCTGTGTACATCCGAGAGCCTCATACTCTGGTACTGCAGCAAACACACACACATACAGGTAAGGAATTAATCTTACAAACGGGAATCCTTTATCAGCACATGCATGGAGGAGACACACAATAAGGAAACACAATATGTGAAAACCTAAAAACATTTGGCTTTGAGTAAATTTCAGAGATATAACCAGCTTCAATCCACAATTAGAATTGCAAAAACAAATATATATCATCAAAATCTATTTTAAACTGTATTTTTTTCTGGGACATGATTATTTGGATGAATCATTATTAACTGATTATCAACATAATTAGTTAATATATGATATAATCCTTTGTTAGAGTATAGAGACTCTAAAGTGTGTCTCTTGATGAAAGGAAAACTGACTCAGAGCACTAATAAGGCTAGAAATGTTTAAAGAAATGTATGCATTTTGCATTTAAGCTGAAAAAACATTTATTAAGTAAATATGATCTATCCAGATTTAGCTTCAGTTGCCTCAAATTATGCCAAACAATAAAAAATAAATGTCTTTTAAGTACTGTTTTGCTAACAGATTATTAATTTCTTAAAATAAAATAAAAACAGCCAACAGATTAATTGGTTGAAAAAAAGAAAAAAAAAAGAAAAACAATTACCAGCTGCAGACCTAAATCATTTAATCATGCTGTTATAGTAAATAACCAAATAGAGAACTTCTGATGGAATCCTAGTAGTAGAAACATATGTCGAAATGTTTAAAAAAAGCTAAATATGAAATGTATTTCTACTATCTGCAACATTAGGAATTAAGCAAGACTGCACCATGGTTAATATCATATGCAAGTCCATCAGTCAATAAAATGATTAGACTTAATTAAAAAATTAAGTCTAATCATTTAGGGGATGGTTCTAAACTGTACTACCTTTATGTTGATGATTCTGTGTTATAAACTGAAATCTGGACTGATTCTTCTATGTTCTCCAGGTCCGCTTCCTCCCTCTCATGTTTTTGTTTTTAGCTTTTATAAAGGTCTATTTAACCTCTCTTTGAATCATGTCAGCAACCTTCACTAAAACAAAATCTAGGCTATTTATTTTTCAAGCAAATGTACAAACCTCCCTCCCTAGCTCACTCCCTCTCCTCCTTCCTCGTTAGGCAGACTTTATTAGCATAGCTTTTGTTTTGCGGGTGAATTTCATTAAACTCTGAACAAACCCTGCCTCGTGAGTGCAGGCCTTTGATCTGGAGACAGAGCCTCTTAATTTCCATTCTCCAGACATTAAACAGTTGTGAATAGCTCCCTGCAATGAAGTCATCTCTGCCATGCAGTAACTCCCACATCTTCCATTAATTCTGCTCACTTGCTACTGTATGCTAATGATGAGGTCAGTGTTTGGTCATAACAGTCCATGACCCATTTATACTTGTATTTTTATTGACATTTTCTTGAAAAAATATTCATACTCATTAAGCTTTTTCATATTCTGTCATGTTTTTACGAAAAGTTTCAGTATGATTTAATGGATTTTTACTTATTCGTACAAAAAACAAAGAGGTGCATAACTATAAAGTTAAAAGAAAAGGATGTATGATTTTCAGAGTTTAATTAAATAAGAATGTTTCTATGTGCAGTGAATTTATTTCTATTGAGCTCCTTTTTATAACTCTACATTGTTGGCAGATGTTTTCAGAAACCTGTGTGTGTCCACCTGCGTGTATCTCTGCACATCTTTCTAAACATGACATCCCCACACACCGTGGGGAAGCGGCCTGCATTACCTAGTTTTTTTCTTTAAGGAGAGGGAAGCTGATTAGAGGGAAGATGGATGGAGCTAAATACAGAGCAATCTCGGGCTGCAAATAACGATTAGTTTGCATATCTATTAATTTATTTTTGCGATTAATGGATTAATAATCAGGTAGCCAAAAGTTCCTTAAAGAAGATTTTTTACCTAATTAAAGCAGGTAAAACTAAAACTTTTCCACTGAAGGAGTTCTGGTTAGAACATATTGACAGACGAAATTTTTTTTTTGTTATCTTAAATGCAGAATGTTTTATATTTTTTCACAATCTTGGCATGATTACTGCTCTTAGCGGGTTGCTCTGTCAGCTAAAGGCATGTTTTAGAGTCTCTACACTCCAATTAATAATTTATCGATTAATAAATTAGTTGACAAATATTTCAATAATCGATTGATCATGATTAATTCGATTAATTGTTTCAGCCCTACTGAACAAAAACACTGCAGAAGAGTTGAGATTGCTGTAGAATGACATCCAAACATAATGGCCATACCATACTGGAAGTGTTTAGAGGAACTTATTTGTTAAAATGGTCCAGTCAAAGGTTGGACCCTTATCCAACTGAAAGCAGACAGGGTAATCAGTCCTTGCTCAGGGTTGCTCTAATTCAATTGGACTAAAAAAAAAATTATGAATGATAGCTCCTAAAGATTTGTAGCAGTATTTTCACTAGATTGTGGCTGTAAGTACCAACTGGGATACCAAGTTTTTACATTTTTACCTGTAAAATAAGGAAAAACATTTAAATCGTCCGTCCTTTTCCTAATAACACAGCACTTTTTACTAGACTTTGATATAAAATCTCAATAAATACATAGACTGATGCTGTTATAACATGACAAAATGGAGAAAGTTTAATAGTTATGAACCAAAGAGTGAAACTAAGAGGCTGAAAGCCTTCCTTTATGTTTCAGTATAATTAGGGAAATGTATATAATAAGAAATTCCTTAACAGTTTAAAAATGATTGTTTGAATAAAATGAAATAAAAATAAAAATAAAAATGAGCTGTTTACAGTCCAGCAGATGGGGAGGCAGAAAACAGCAGCTCAAACTAACTTTTTTTCAGCTACTCTCACATATACTGGTCCAGTTATGGTGCTTTAAAATATTTGGAAAGAAAGAAAAAAACAAACAATAGACGCTTGTGTGCTCAAATCCGACCTGGCACACTCAGCAAATAAATTAATTATAAGTTTTAGACACATTCAATCTGATTCAGGGGTAGTACTTTGTGAAAATAAAACACCTTTTCTCCTTTTTCACAACACAAGAGGTTTACTGTAACATTGGTAAAATGAAGCTGATTCAATTTTGAACCCAAAATTGTCTTTATGATTTTTTTTTTTTTTTTTGCCAAATAAGGCTGAAAAAACACAGTTAAAACGTCATGCATGAACAGAAAGGAGGCAGGAGTATCAATCAGCATGCTTTATATTCAACCTGACAGCAATAAAACCCAACGAACACTCAAAAAAAAAGGCAGCACTTTATTTCATGTGCAGTATGGCAATATGCAAAACAGAAATAAAGTCAAAACTATATTTGTAACTGATGTAAAACAAAGTGGAATAATTCGTTACAATCAATTCCCTAAAAGCAGATTTTTATATTTCCCAGCTGTTTGCAGAGCAAAACTCTTTAATACTCCTAAATACAAACAAACTGTCTTATTTTCTTACACAAAGTCTGCAATATGTCGAACACATCAAAGGTGGAGAAACACACACTTTCAAAAGATGTTGACAATTTTTTATCACAGGACAGTGGAGAAGTGTTTGCTACCCGATAGATTTCTTCATTTGTTGTTTTTTTACTTAACTAAAACATAATTTATCATCAAACAAATGTTACCAGGGTAAATGGAAAATAGCCTTGAGTTTATTTTATAAAAGAAAAAAAATCAGCTTTTTCTTAGTAAAAAAATTTATATGACTTTAGTTTTAAATTAAGTGTTAAAGTGATCAGTCACATTATTTCAGTTGGGTTAACAAGCAACATCCATCTGTAGTTAATACTGACTCACCTGGAAAAGCAAGAAACTATGTAAACAACATGAGGTGGACTCAGTTCTCAAGAAACAACCCACTATCAGTCTAAAATGTTTATGGACAGATCAGAAACAAATTATCTACTATATATTTGTGCTGATGAAGGTTATAGAGCCACTTTTGAGGCTTTGAGACTTCAGCAACCACAGTGAGACCCATTATCCACAAATAGAGATAATAAGAAAAAACACTGCATATACCCATAAACATGATTACTCTTCAACGAAGCAGGGACAGAACCATCTGAGTCAATTAATGTCAGTGGTACCTCAACATCCAGATAGAAACTGGGCAAAAACAGCATCCCTGGGAGAGTTCAAAGGCCAAAACCACTGCTTGCCCAAACAAACAGGACAAAAAGCATTTTGATGCTGCCAAAGACTTGCCGGAAAAACATCTGTGGAGTGATGAGATAAAGGTAAATCCTTGTAGTCACTTAAATCCAGCATAAAACTAACACAAAGCACATGATACTGCCACTTGACACACTGCTGGTAGTGTGATTCTCTGGAACTGCTTTGAATCTTCTGGACGGGAATAATGTGACATAAAGTCTTTAAACATTAATCTGACAAGACAGTTCTCACTAATGTTTGATGGTAGTTATAGTCACCAAAATCAGACAATATTCATACAAGCAGGTTTTCCTATATACTCTATTAAGATGTGACATACGTATTTCCTCACATGGGACAGTACTGTATCTGACCTCTTTTCATATAGTAAATGGAGCACCTCCAGTGATTTGGTTTCACATAGAGCCATGTTGGTTTGGACAACTATTTTCCACCCAGAGGATGAAACCATCATTTGAAAACTCTTACTATGGGTCAGAACAATAAAAATGAAATAAACCTACAAAAATAAAGATATAACAGGGCAACATCTCAATCTTGCAGTTTGGTATTCACTGTGTAATTCTCTTGGCCTAAAAAATATCCAATTTAATGCAATACAATGAGAAGCTAAATATCAACATCAAATTTTCTTTCCTCTTCTTTAACAAAATCAAAACTTGCTTTGAAAACAGCAACTTGCAGATTTAAAATAAAGTAATATATGATAAGGTCAGGATCTTTGATCATTTTCCTTCACCCTTGATGTGTCAACCTTCAGGACAGGGGCAACCTTTTGTTGCACAAGTAACCAAAACCAAAACATGTGCATGCCCTCTGTGCTTGAGCAGACTGCATATTGCAGCTTGTGAAAAATAAGCACGTAACAATGGGAACTGAGAATAAAATGGATGCCAAAACCATTGTGGAAGGAAGAAAAGGAGGATTGGACGGATAGGGCGGGGGGAGACTCCATCCATGTACCGAGACACCGGTAAAGAAGGGTAGGCGAGGTGCAGTGCGGTCGGTAGTGGAGTTAGAGCAGAATCACAGGTTTTTGTGAGTTACATGCTGGTTAAGTTTACCTTACTAGCTCGTTTCCAGTTTCTTCTCAAAAGCATGGTCTGTAAATGAGACAAAGCGGTTACAGAATGCCTCCTACTGTTCTCTTGTTAAGGGTAAAGGGCACCAGGTTTACATAATCGCCCTGACCTGAAGCAAAGAGTTAGATGAGGGAAGTAGGTGAAGTCGCATCATGCAGGTTAAGTTAGCAGAAAGTGTATAAGCAGAGATATTACATGGTGTAATGGTTTAGTTTTATAGCAAGACATGCATAGACAATGACACATTTACATTAAGCAAACTCGAAATTACATTAAGGCCCACAGCATATCTACCTTCATTTATACTCTTTTTTACTCATATCTATTACTAGATACTAGATTACTAGAGAGCCAGTTTTTGTCCATTTCATGAGCTAATACTGTGATGACGCATTAATTTTGGTGAGTCTTTCATTTTAACAGGTCCCTTCAAAGTTTAAAACCTTTGTGGTCCTGCACCAGGCTTTAACTATAGTATATCCATGTTTTACATTACTCAAACCTCACCTTTCTTATACCGGTATCAGCTCTCAGTTAGGTTTTTTATTGCCATAGATATTTCATTCAAATAGCATTTAATAAGAAAGGAATGGTAACCTGCAAAGTAGTTTTTTTGTGTTATCAGTCAGTTTTTCATCTTGTTTTTACGTTTTTATTTAAATAAAATGTAGCGATAGGAATCACTAAAAGCTGTCAAATAAAAAATAATATCCACGACACTGTCCAACAGTCCCTAAACACAAACACCTCTTTATCTGACTGCAGTCAATCATGTACACGTTAACAAAAAATATTTATCAGGAAAACGTTTCTGTGAATGTAACAATATTTATTTTGGAAAGACAGATATTTCAAATCCTCCTGAACAATAATAGCTTTTTTTATGTCCTTCAAATGAAAAACATTCTTGATTGCACTTATAATATTTCCTCCAAACTTAAGTGCAAGAATGCCATCCATTAATTAAGTCATTTTAGATGAATCTGGACACTTAATTTCTGAGAAAAGTCCTCTTGCATACCTTTAACATTCCCTTATAAAAATTGCCTTGGACTATTGTGCGTTACATTGTGTGCTTTTTAGCTGTTCTTATACTGCCAGCAGTAAGTTCTGTGTACTTAAAACTAAGGTTGCTGCTAATCAGACATCTTATAAATTGTACAGAATGACAACTCAAGAATCAGTGGTTATTATACTGCTTTATTACCTGAATTAACTTTAAATATTCAAAGCTGGATCCCCTGAAAACACTGAGCCTTTTGATCTTATATATTAATAGTTTTTTGTATTTGACTCTGAACACCCACAACTATCTTATCATGGTAAGGTGAAAGTTCAGTTTTCAGCAGTAAGCTTTGCAGCTTAAACAGACTTATTTAGCATAGTGCCTGTAAGATCATGTATTAAGAGTTGAAACGTCTGAACTAATTTACAGGCATCTGATCAAAAATATAATTATTAAAATTACTGAAATGTAACCTCAAGTGTGCAAAAACACTTAAAACGTTCAAACATGTATCTCTTTTGCATAACTTTTCTTTTTGGCTCTCATTTATAAATTATTCGCTATTTGCATGCACAGAATGAGGACTGCCAAGTTATTGACTTGGTCCAAATCTGCTGGTTTGGCTTAGCTAGAAAAGGCTTTAGACATTAACATAATTACATGAAACTGACAATATTCCTTGAAAAACTAGCGCCTAATGAGAGTATTTGCCTGTTCATATTATTGCAGTTATTTTACTGAAGTTTTCTGGATATATGCCACATCTGTTTGTTTTGTAAAGTGCCTTAAAAGAGAACATTTGTTGTGAATTAGTGCTGTAAAGAGGATTATTTTTCTTATTCATATATGAGTCTGTTAAACCCTAATAATTCCCATGAATGAAATAAATGCCAGCTAAATATTAACTAGAACCATTTTGTATTTGTATCTGAATCACTGGTTCTAAAGCAATAACCGTCCGTACCAATAACTTAGTTGTTAAATCTTTCATATGAGTGACTTAAGAGAAAATGTTGCTTTCACCATTTTTTTTGCTACCTCTAATCTTCTCTCAGGTACGAACAAATTTAGACTACTCTTAACGTCTCAGTCAGCTGTTATCCAAAGCTAGTTTTTCACTAAATGACTACATTTGTTTTAGTTAGAGGCAATAGTCCATGTTATTAGGCTACATCATGACACAATGTAACTCTAAAATTATACTTTTTCATTTTTATGATGACTGAACTATTTGTCACTACACCTGCAGCTGTTATGTCAGTATCCAGATGACAATTTGTTGGTATTTTATCAATGGAAAGAACAGTTAGAGATCAAGCTACTAAATAAACATCTGGAACAGAAAATAATTAGAAAGTTCAGTAAGGCACCTCTAACGGTAAGACTTGCAGTCATTTCCCTCCATGGCCGCTCCTTGGCTTAGTTATCACACTAAAATGTTTGGGGTCTGTCTGACTGTCAGATTATCATTTTTTTTACATACGTTTATGCATAGTGAGAGAGACAGGAGGTGCGATGAAGGGATGACAGGAGTGCATGTTTATAGCTAAGGACATTTAGCTGAATGTCATTGTGTTGGTTGATGGCAAACTCATATAAGGCATTAAACTCATACGTTGTTCCGCTTGTGTCCATCAGTAGTTTTCATTGACTGTTTTCGGATTAAATGATTTTTCTTTTAATATATTTTTTTATTATTTTTTCTTCTGTGTAACTTCTGTTATTATTTACAGCTGTTGTAACTTATTTCCCACTGCTTTGCTTTTACTGGTCCTTTAATTCTGCTGCTCAGCAGAACTTCGATCTGCGAACCGTTACGGTTTTACTTCTTCGTCTTCAATGCCCTTTCTATGATTGGACACTGTGGGTATATATGCAAAATTTATATTTCACAAAACGTGTGCTCACTTAATCACAGGTACAGAGCATCACGTTAAGAAGGATCATTTATGATCCTTTACTGAATTAAAAAAGTTATGATTTACCTGTGGTATATTTAGCAAAAGCCCTGTGAAATAATAACAGTCTGCAAGCCAAACGAAAAGGACCCAGGTTTACCGACTAAAATCTTTATTTATATCGTTTTACCCAAAGGATTTGATAAAACTGTGAAACTCTATTAGTGACGGATGAAAATTCCTAATGGTTTAGGCTCTTGTTTTGAATTTAGCAGGCTGTCTGTAATGCATAGGGAAAAAAATACCGTGTGTGCTTGAGTTAAAGCGCCTCTATTGGACATTTGATTCATCTGTTTTATATGACTTACAGAGAGCAAATAAATACATAATTAAATAAGATCTTCTTTGATTCATTCATCTATCTGTAAAAAATAAAACACAAAGGTTAGAAATATATTCTGCTAAAGATAATTTCTTTATTGCAGAACAGTTTGCTTTTTTTCTGCAAAATATAAAAAAAAATTCAATGAAGAATGGCTCAAGACTTTTGCACACCAATAGTTTGCTAAACAGTCACCTGGTGCTGATTCATGAGTTTTGTAAAAATGTAAAAAAAAAAATCTCAATTTTGTTATTCTTTTTCACACCACTAGATGGCATCAGAGATGTTGCCATGTATGTTTTTTTTAACAGTAGCAGAATCCAAAATGATGCTTAACCTAAACAGAGTTTATTTGTTTTGTCAAACGGGGGCTGTGTGAACCAAAGCCCAGAAAAAGCAGCAGAATTAAGACATCAGATCAAAAGGAATAAAATATGTCCCTCATGACACTGTCCTGATTGGAGCAGAGCATGTTAGAATCCAATTAAACAAACAAATAATTTAACAGAAATAAATGCAACTGAATCACTAAGTGTATCCGCAGAGGCATGAGACACAAATAATTAGGAAAGAAGATCTTCTACTCTTTGAACATCCAAATTTTTTGTTGATGAACTCTTGTGTTTATGCCTTTGCGTTTTCTGACTTGTAATGTTTCCAGAACCTGCAGCTAAAGTAAGGCAGCACTCTCCAGTTCAATATCAGCTCCATGTGCTACACATATGTGGTAAAACAGTTTATCAACTTATAATCATGTTTATGGATTTTGTCAGTAGTATAACTTATGTGGAATCTGGCAGTGTAAATACAGAGTAAATTAAACATTGTTAAATAGGCTATGCAGTGTCAAAGTAAATTGACTCTTTTACAGTTATTACCACAATAACTGGAGTAAGATAAACACTATGTAGAGAGTTAATTTAACACTTATTCAGAGTGTGACCAAATGCGCACTTAAAGTGTTACCTTAACACTGCAAAATATACTATAAATATACAAACATATCCAAAACACCTAAACTTTTGCAAACCATAAACTTTATACATACATATTTTAATTTTATATGATAGGCCAACAAAATCTAAAAAGTGGACTGAATGCTAGATGACTTTCTCTTTTTTCACAAATGAAATTACTGAAAGCATTGAAGATGATTAGTTTTTTGGACCGTCTGTCTTTTGGATTCCTGTTAATTGCTCTGCGATATTCCCAGTCCCAGATAATCCCTGTCTCAACTATTTCACAGCCTCCAACAGGCTTTCTTCCAGTTGTATATAAACTGTCCTGCCCTACTGGAGAAAAGCATTCCAACAACATACTATCCTTTCACTAGCATATTATACCTGTGGGATGGTGTGTTCAGGATAATGCAAAGTGTTTATCCTCTGCCACACATAACATTTTGCTCAGAATAGTCTAATTTTGGTCTCATCTGGTTGGTGCATGTTCTATTGTCTTGTATACAGTTTGTGTTATACTTTAAACTTAACTTGATCAGGCTTTCTCTGTGCCAGTCGTCCGAAAAGGTAGGATATGTTGAGAGCACAGCTTCTTTGAATAATACATAAACTGATTAATGTTTAGGTGGATGGATTGCAATCATAATCTTTCCAATGTCAAAGATTAAACAGAGCTTTATGAGATTTTTTTTTTATTAACAAAAAGAAGAAATTACTGTGTTTAGGTTTTGCTTAGTTTTTTTTTATTTTTTTTTTACCGATTGTGATGTAGGTTGGATAAGAATTGGCCAACATGTCCAGAAAACATGGAGGACAACAGTTGGATTAAAGCAGAATGAGCAAAGAAATCCCCACAGATTAAACTTGAATGTCTTACAGCATCCTTTATGTCTCCCTCCTTTGGTGACAGAGTGACGGCGAGTTCCAGGCTCCCCAGGTTATGTTCAGGATACTGTGGATCCTTCAATTCCAAAGTTACATCCAACGTCCTGCGAGGATAGAGAGTCTAAAATGTTAACGTGCTAAACTTTATCATGAATAATGTAGAGCCAAAGCAGTGCATCATTTAAGACTTTTATATAAAAACAAAGAACTTTAGACAGACAAAAAGCTCTTACGTCATCATAACAGCTTTTCTTAAAATTTCTCAAAAATAGCCTTTAAAATAAAAAAATAAAAATGTTCAAGAATTTCAGTACACCTCTATCAAAAAGATCTGACTACAGTGAGGCCATAATACTAAAATAAAAACATAAGTATTTAAACTGCACCATGATTAAAGGAATATCCCTGATCACCTTCAATTAACAATAATTTTGCAAAGCCATTAATCTGTCAATATTTTTTTCAATTACTAAAGGTTCATTAAACAATCATTTTACTAAATGAAACCTGGTGAAACTATTACTTTCCCACTTAAGGGGTTCTGGATAGAGCATATTGTCGACAAAAAAACTTTTTTTTATTATCTTAAAAGCAAAATGTTTATATATATTTTAAAAATCTTGGTACATTAACCGTTCTGAGTGGGTTGCTCTGACAGCTAAAGGCATGTTTTATTGTCTCTATACTCCAGTTAATGATTAATTGATTGCTAAATTAGTTGATGACTAATACAACAATCAATTAATCATGAATAATCTGATTGTTTCAGCCCTACTTAAACACTGACAAAACAATATCCATATTTCAATTAAGTCACAGGGTCTAATGGGAGCAACCTTGAGTCAACAAACACAATCTGAAAACGGCTCACCAAAATTTTAAAATCTGCTCTAAGGCAGCTATGACTTTCTCACAATAAGATGCATAAAATTTGCCTGTTTATTACAGAGGATTGCAGCTAAAGCCATATTCTCTTTCAGATACACAGAACAAGACAGAAGCACAACATCTGGGAACATCTGTGCAACATTAAGTCTAAATGTTGGCTGCTGAATAGGCCTAAAACAACATTTACCCATTCCATTGCTTCATCAGTGGAATAGGTTGGTTTTGATCTTTATTTTTATTTGTTTGATTTTCCATAGTAAATCCTGTATTCTTCACAAATATAAGGCAGATAAAAAACAAAAATTCTGAGTAAAGTGAAATGTGCTTCAGGGTTTTAAATTATTATTTAATTTATTTAACTCTTGTGATTCTTTAATTTCCTTGTGAAGCAACCTGCAAATGTCTGCCAGAAGAGGGCAGCAAAGGACAACCTAACAATGACTGAAGTTAGTCTACACTGTCTTCCAAAAACTATTTCCCTTGAACTTCCCAACTTATGTCATGTTACAACCAAAGACTGTAATGGAACAATACATTTAAAGAACATTTAGATATGAATCTGCAGAGTATAACATGCATTTGAATGCAGTCCCATTTGCTTTATCTGCCTTCTTTACAGCTACAAACTCATAAATATTCCAAATATGGGGCATGCAGGTAGCACAGCAGTTAAAGCGCATGACTGATGTATGCAGGCCTTAGTCCTCAATGTTGGTGACCTAGGTTCGAATCTGATCTGTGGTCCTTTGCTGCATGTCTCTCCCCCTCTCTCATACCCCTTTTCCTATCAGTCTACTCATGAAACAATGAACCTCTAGTGCTGCAAAAACTCAAAAAAATAAAAATAAAAAGTTCTACACACAGGGGGATACAGAGTGTTAGATCTTTTTTTTGTATTGTAGAAGAATGGAGATTAGATTTATGTCTCATTTGTTCAGTGCATCTTTTTTTAAATGTTTGCTGAACACCAATGCATACTCAGGGTGGACAGAACAACAACACAGCTCTTTCTGGTGGGGCATTTATGTGCAGAACTCTCAGAAAAAACTCATAGATACCCCCTACTCTGAAAAACAGCATAGAAGTTCTGTCTAGATGATGTGTCAAGAACGAGGTGCAAGACCTCCCAAAGCAAAAACTCATAAACATGTTATTTCCTCTGCCTTGGTAGAGGTTATGTATTTATATGTCAAGTATACACATTCATATAAAGTGCAAACTGAGCTTTAATTTTCCTCCATAAAATCTTCCCTTGCAGACCTTTTACCAGATGGTTTAGCTGTAAACTGATTTTTCCAGCTGATCGCTGTATCTCTGCAGCTTCTCCTAAATAACCACTGGCCCCTCTCTACTTCTCTGTCCTTTTGCTTTCTCTATCAGTTTAGCCGTCCAGCTCCATGTGTGATGTTTGGCACCAATGATTTAAATCTTTTGGTTCAGTATGATGGATCGAAAAGTCCAATGTAAGATAATCACATCTCACAAAGAGTTTCTGGTGATTTGTTATCTTAAACTTACCAGACTTTACATTTCTCCAGTTCTGAACTGCCTCTTTGAATAATGTTCCCCTTGATTTGCTGGTATGTTTTAGGAAAATCTTTTTGAAAGTTTTGTAGTCATAATCTTTGCATTTTTAGATGATTGAACAGAACTAAATGAGATGTCTGGATATTGTTAATTAACCTAATCCTGATTTAAACCTGCTGTCATGTTTGTTTACTAATGTTCTTTAACAACTTCTAAGGAATTACAGAACCGCCGCATTTATACAGTGGTCAGGTTAAAACAGAGTAAATCATATTTTATTTTGAGATATCAGACTAAATGGAGTTATTACATTTTAAATCTTTATTTGTTTCAGTGGTAACATGAAATAGTAAGAGAAAGTGCTACAGATATGAAAAGGTGGTTATAAAATTATAAAATATTTGAAAGCAGCCTAAATCTTAGTATTTCTGCTTAAAGCTCTCTGTAGAATCACCAAGGTCAATACATAAAATATAATCTGTGTGAAAAAAGGAATTAAGAAAGCTCAAAGCAATAGGAACAAAAAAACAAAACAACAACAAGAAAACCTCTGATGTTCGAGTGATTCCAGATGAAGATACGCTGAGCCCATAAAATCATCCTGGAGTCCAAAATCATAGTCAAACACCTACAGAAAGACACAAACGATCAGAATGAAACACAAACATTATTTCAATTCTAATGTTGGACATATTTTTTTCCATATAAAAATTAGAGATTAATTCACAACCAAATTACACTGTTGTCCAAAACACACTTTCATGTTGAAAACATTTTAGACATGGATCAAATCTAAAGCTAAATATGCTCACACTTTTCAAATTGTGTTCAGTTAATGATAAGCTGGAGTTCTAATAGTTGCAAAGAAGCCAAATAAAGAGAGATATAGGTTATAGTTTCTGTATTTATTTCTGCAGTAAACAGAAGCTTTGGAGCTTAAACTAAAGCCAGAAATGATCTTTTAAGATAAGTGCTTGTGGGATTAAAAGGTCGCAGGTCCAAGCCCAGTTTCTAAAGTGAACGACCTTCAACACTTAAAGAGACACTAAAAGCTTAAACATCCTTCTTCTCAACTGATTACCAAATAATTAACAAAAATCTAACCAAGCCCAATGTTTACAAGAAAACATCATTACCAGGCATACCACGGAACAACATGAATGTTATAACAGCCTAAAAAATTAAATAAGTGACTTGAATTATGTTTGGAGGGCAGGGTCTTTGGAATTGTGTTTTGGTAGCAAATGTTTAAGTTTTGTTTTTTATCATTTGTATCACTTTTTTATCTACTTGTCATTAGAATAGTTGCTTAACTTTTAGACAATCAGTCAAAACAAACAAAATAAACGGATCGAGATAAAGTAGGATTTATTATAAAGACCAAACATCCCAAATACATCACAAAATTCCAAAATAACTGTCAAGCTTAAGTCGAAACAAGAAGTAAGAAGTAAAATAGAGAACCAAAAAACTTTTCTTACTTAAAGCTACAGTGTGTAACTTTTAGCGACATCTAGCGGTCAGACTGCAGACTGCAGCAACATGAACATCTCCACCCCACCGCTTCTCCCCCCCAACAGTACGGCGAGCGTTACGGGACAAAATGTCTTCCACGACGTCCGCATCACCTACCTTCTCAAGTGATGAGGTTTGTTTACATAGATAATTTTACAGATAATATTTCATTAGTCTGTGTAGGGTATAGATTTCATGTAGACTTAAGATAATAAATATACCCGTTATTTTTTCTACATCGTTGTGACGTTTTGGCGATCTCGCAATCGCTAGGTTGTTGGCTCTGCGCTGCCGTAGCGCAAAGATGTCTGCCTCCATGGCTGCGAGACCCGCTCCTATGTAATTATAAATAACGAATTCTAAGGCAACGCAAATATTAAGGTTAAGAGGCTGAGCTCGTAGATGATGATAAATAACATAGTTATGTATAATATATTACATTTCTGACTGTATATCCCTGTAATTATTACACACTGTAGCTTTAAGATGCATTTTAACTTTTATTTTGGATCATTTTGGCAATTAAGAACAGAGAGTGTTTAAATAAAAGTCACCCCAAAATACTATTGGCAGTCTTTTAAACCTTGTGAAAAAAATAAATAACACACACATAAAACCACCTAATCTACAGTATTATACCATAGAAGATTAATGTGTATATTTTAGCCTTATAGCAGATAAGGTCAAAAACTGACTTACTTTGACATATAGCGGCTCCCTGAGGGTTTCCACCAAAAGGCTGACTCTCTCATCCCACACTGGGTTTAGATTTTTATGGATCGTTTTGCTTCTGAACACTTCCTTCCCTCCGATTTTAAACTTCACATATGGGTCACTGGTCCCTGGAGATGGGGGTAAAAAGGCAAACAGTAACAAAAATCGTTAGAGAGAAACAAACAATACTATGAAAAAATGGATAAAACAAAACCAAATAGGGTGAATGCAGTTTGCAAAGCAAGTTGGGGGGGGGAGTTTATATTATCATTGGGTCTGTTTAACTGGTTGAAAGCTGAACTTTTTCTTTCCCAAACAGAACCTTTTCAAACATAGAAAGTAGTTTTAGATCATTGCTTGTTTATTGCTTTTGTATTTCTGCTTCCTTCTCCTTGAGCCCCAGTTGGCCTCGGCAGATGGCCGCTCACACTTAGCCTGGTTCTGCTGGAGGTCTCTTTCTGTTAAAAGGGAGTTTTCCTCTCCACTGTCGCTACAAGCATGCTTGGTGGTAGAGAATCAATAAGTGGATGCAATCGGCTGGTTTTCGTTAGATAGAAACCTTTCAACCAATCCTACTGTATGATCTGCTTGAATTTTTCTCTGAAGTGCCTTGAGACGACGTGTGTTGAGAACTGGCACTATAGAAAAAAACGGAATTGAATTAAATCTGTTACACCAGAAATGATAACAAATAAAATAAAATAGAAAAGGATGAAAACAACTCAACTCACTTTCATTGATTTCTCTATTAGCTTTTTATGTCCTGATCCCTCCTGGGTTTAGAACCAGTTATTCTCACTGAATTAAGTTGATTTACGTCAACAATTCTACCTCCTGCCTTCCACCTCCGACTAGATGCATTCCCCACATTTTATGTTTAGTTCTTTTCTTTTCATCTTATTTATAATTTCCATGGGACCCTTAACTTGCCACCAGGGAGTCTGACATCCCCCGCTTCTACATGTGAAAAAATCCAAAACTGAGCAACATGCTTCCTTTACACGAAAAATAAAAAGATGAAATTTCAGCAAATCTTCTCCAACTTAAGAACATTATTGCCAACTTTGAAAGCCTTTCATACAGGGCCAATTTTTCTATAACAAAATAAACTAGAGATTCTCCAACCTACACACAATTATAAGGGATTTTCAAATGAAACCGTCTCAATTAGGTGTTTAAAGTTTGGGTAAGTGTAGGTATTTGCATTGTCTTATCAATGGTGTATTACCATTCATACTTAGGCATTATAATTATTTTTAAAGCTCTGATTTGCCATGCCTTTCTTGTTTTGTTTTAGTAGCATCATCAGAGGCAGTATTTGACCACTAGATGGTAGGATTGTCCTAAAGTCTCAGATTTGAGAAGCTCACCTGAATTTAAGGATGAAATAAACTGAACATTGTTCTGAACACACCATTCCCTCAGTGAATCATGGTGGCAGCATTATGCTGTAGTAATTACATTGTTCAACAGGAACAAACAAGCTAATTAAATTCAACAGAGAAATGTTTGGAGCTTAAAAAGAAAAAGAATGAGGAATGAGCCCAGGTTCCCTTTCCCCCTTAACATACAGCCAGAGCTATCATAGATTATTAAGCATAATCTGTTACAGGGTACATCAAAAGTCCTGACCAAAATCCTATTGAGAGCCTTTACCATACTGTATATATTATATTTATTAGATAAAATGTGCTCACCATTAAATAAAAAAAAACACTAACTTTACAATTAGACTTAAAGGCTTTCTCTAAAAAACCTTGGTGACTCTGCAACCTACTGATTTAATAGGAAATTCATTAAATGTTCAATTTAATGTTCATTTATTTAATATGCTAATTAGGGAAATTGTTCATCAAATAACATTTTCAGCAATAAAAATGCAATAAATAGCATAAATCCTATTTGTTGTTTTTTGTGTGCAAAAAACATAAACATAAAAACAAACATAAAAAACATAAAGATAAATAAAAGATTCTAGTCTTGTAAATTCATCAAATTAAAGGCAAATGATGATTTCCAAGGTTTGTCCTGAAGAAATAACACAGGATGCTAAAAATAAATAAATAACAGACTAAGGAAAAACAACTAAATAAAACTAGTATAAAATAAATAAATATATAACATTTTGGGCAAGTTGTTGAGCTATTAGTTGATAGTGAGAGCTTAGCAGACTGCAGGACCTGTGGTCACATGGTGTTAATTGGCAAGGAAGTGATTAAATTGGTTGGATTATATGCTTTTGAAAGCTGAAAACTGAGGCCCCTCCTTCTGTTTGGAGTTGTTTTGCTTTTATTTTTCCTAAGTGGCCTCATTCAGTGCTCTTGCATTTCATTTATTTTTCTTTGGAGGAAGCCCTGTACTACTTTCAGCTGTAACAGATATACACTTCATAATTTTACCTGATAACTACCCACCTGCAAACCCTTAAGAGTCCTTCTTATTAGTGGCCAAACATATCTCAGAGAAGCAGACAGACCTATTATTAGGAGACTCCAATCTGCATGTGAATACAGATCTGCTAAACAGTATATTATAAACAGCTTCAACTGTCAGAACTTCTCCCTCTAAAGAAAGCATTTCAGGTGAAGGAGAAACAATCAATCAAACAAAATTAAATAGAACTGTTGTGTTATTTGCCATTTTGGAGCTACCTAGATTACAGCAAATATTCACCACCAAATTTCATAGACAAAATTATAAATGTATACTCTTTCCACTTTACAATGATGAACTTCTTGGTGGCAGCCTGTAATTGCAAATCCAGATAAATAACAACAGAGTTCGTGTTTGCAATGGGATTAAATGAGGATAATTTCAAATAGTATCAATATTTTGTGAGGCACTAATAAAGATACAATAAATAAGCATAGGAAACTTATTTTCTAATAACTGAAGATGAGTCTTACTGTTTAAGCACTTCTTGTCTAAGTATGAAAGTGTCTATGCTGATTGTTAATTGGATAATAACTCACTCCTACATAATTAGCTTGATGGTGTTTAAAAAAGGCAGTAAAAGCCCAATGATGTCAACAGTTCATATTTTTACACCATCATAAATCTCTGAACAGGCACGGGGAAATATTTTTAGTCATAAAAACAGAAAGACCCAAAGCAAAAAATGAGGTCCGCTTTGCTTGAATAAAGACCATTGATGTTATGCTGCTACCAAAGCTTTGATGTGAGAACAGCATATGTGCTGACAGGGGCCTGCTGGGAGAAGATGGTCATTTCCTCACGTTTAGAAAGCATCCACATAGATATGTGCACTTCTGCTCTCAGACAAAAGCTATTACAGTCACACATATTTGTCCTTAAACTTGCTGTTGACAGATATCTGAAAAGAAGCTACAGCGGGAGACAAAAAATGCACAAGAGAAGAAAAGAAGAAGAGTCAGAAATCTGTGGGACTGTGCTGCTTCTGTAGGGAAAAAGTTAAAGAACAAAAGCTAATTGATCCCAAACCACATCCCTCCCGGAAGACACTATTGCCTCAGAAGAAATCCTTTTTTTATATACATGTTTCTGTCTTTCTGTGCCTCAGTGGGTCAATATTAACCAGACACACATCACTGACTCACAGGTTCTGCATCCCTCAGAGCTGGCTTTATGGGGCCATAACACACACAGGCTGAACAGTATGAAATGGAAAAGGCTGCCAGTGTGGGAGGAAGATGAAAATGAGCAGGAGTGGGTCCAGCACAGAGGAGGAAAAGGAAGAACATTCTTGGAAAACAACCAGAGCTATCCACTTACTTAATATGTCCAATTTTTTTTAAGCATTCACACCTTTGGAGAGACTTATCTCGACAGTGATGCAAATGCAACGAGTGATGCACTAACCACCAAGGGCTAGTGGGTGCTTGGATCAATTACACATAGATTGTTGTAAGATCAATAAGCTCTAGAGGAATGAGCAATGATTGACATGGCTGTTTTATAGACAATGGCGCCAAGGGCTGTGATCCACTCCGGGGGAATGAGAGCATGAAATGGAAGCTCTGTGTAAGGAAAGATTGGGTGCAAAAAGTACATATGTCAGTCACCAACACACTTGGAGGGTAATTGTTGTTGGTATAAATGTTCAGGTATAGGAAACGGTTTACAGTCTTGAGTCAGTGGTGCTTCTTATCGCTTTATTTGGATTTATAGTTATACATATGCATATACATATATCAAAATCAGACATATTTTAATAATCCCTGAGGGAAATTACTTTTGTTACACGCTCCAGATATACAAACATTTTTATAGGGTTTAGGAAGGGTTTAACAATGTATAGTATAAGTCTAAAGCCTGTAGTTGGAGTTATGCAAGATTCTGAATATTCTGAAATCTGTTAAACCTTTTTAACATGTAATTGCAATATTTTGATTTTAAGATAATATCGTTTTCTGGAGCTATTGATCATAGACACACCACAAACTCACAAGTCAAAGTCCTGTGCAGGTTGTAACTGTCTAAGGAAGACATCCTCCTATATTGGTGAGATTTATTCACCAATAGAAGAAGAGGAAGACCAAGGAGTTGGTGAACTTTCTGAAAGGAAAATATATCTATGATAGATGTGCTTTGGTTGCCTGTTTAAGCTGCAACCACAGAGAGCCTTGAGTGAGAGCTCAGTGCGACACTCCTTTGAATTTTTGTACGTGTGTAGTAAAGAATTTTGTTAGCAGACTTTTTTTTTTCTGCCACAGAATCTTGGATCATGTCTCACAAACAGTGAAAGGGAGCATTTAGCAAAGTTTTGTTTGTTGAATAAATCAATAATTAATGATTTCTGTTCTAGTGATATACAGTCATTTCTACCATGAATTAAAGATTACAAAAAATGTCAACGACAAGTAATGCTGTAACTTTACACTTCACTCTCTTCTAAAGCATCCACTGCTTTTCATGGAAAATACAACTTTATAGACTTAAACTTAGACTCAGCTTTTTCTCCTTCAGGAAAATTCTGTTTCCAGTAGCTTATATAAAGCACAAAGAGTTAAAGCAAGATGCCATTAAAGATAAAAATACGACAGACAATATAAAAAGAGTGTATATAGTACAAAAGAGCATTAAAAAAAGAAAAAAGTCGTAGTTTCCTGGATTATGTTTCCCTTAAATCTGCACAGTAGAGAGATAA